TGGATCTCTTGGTTCACTTCCTTCTTTCCCATCGCTACATTTCCGTTTCTTTTGTCATGTACGCCATTGTGTGCCTGTTGTCATGGTGCCTGTGGCCGGAGTGGGCAATTTGGTGTTGTCTTTGCTCAGCTGGGACTGCCTCTGTTGGCTAGCCTTTCGAGTTCATGTATAAGAATGAGCAAGCATGGCCACAGCTTGATGTGCTACAGATGCAAACACACTGCATCATGCCAAGGCTTGATCTGGGCCTGGTTAACTGTTTCTTAGGATCATAAATGTTTGAACTGCTTTCTGACTGAGGTAGGAAGATACTGCCATGAACCCACCACACAACCTCTATACCCTTCTCAACCAGGCTAGGGCATGTTGTAGCTTCTGTACTGTGAAGAACACATTCTGGGAGCCGGGCCCTGTCCCAGGAACTCTAGCTGCTCCTCCAGAAAGGACAAGCTGAGTCAGCTCCTCAGCTCAACTGAGCATTTGGCTGGTGCATCGTTTGCTCTCTGCTCAGGGACCTCACAAAGAGCCAGAAAAGGAGTCCATGCCTGCTGGGCAGCTGGCGTGAAGGTGGCTGAAGTAAGATTAGTTAGAAAGCATGACAGTGGCTCTAGTGGACAACATGTCTTGTCTCTAATCCTCAATGAGGCTGGGTGGCCTTGTCCTCTTCGGCCATGAAGCCAGCAGGGGGTGCTGGAGCTCTAAGGAACCTTTCAAGAGGGGTGGATTCCTCTAGCAAGGAAGGCCCCACAGGGAGCAGTCTAATGTAGATGGCCTGCTGGCCCCTTCCGGGAAGCAGCGGATCTTGGGCAAGTGTGAGTGGTGTACACCTGCATGTATAGCAGTGAGCTACCAGCAGGTCAGCTTTTGTCCTGTAGCCAGCCAGAATGAGGCTGCCTGAGGGAGCCTTGATACACACACTGTCTGCCCTGGCAAGGTGCTTGATGGCAGAGTAGCTGGAGCCTGGCCTCGGGTGTCTGTTCTGTCTCTGAAATTCTTTATCGAGAACAGAAAGTGCATTCTCTGCCTGTCCGGACTCTACTGTGTTAGGGGTCAGGGCCCCTTGTGGAGCCACAACCTCGGGTAGCTGGGGGAGGGGCTATAGGATGTTTGTGGACTGTGGCCTTAGTCAGACCCCTGTATTTCCCAAGCCTGAGCTGAACTGTAGGGGGTGGATTTGTGTCTTTTCTCCTGGCTGCCTCTGGACTACATTAAGATGGATCGATGCCAGAATTGTAGTCAGCAGGGTACTCTGAAATCAGATGTCTGGCACACCGGATCCTGCTTATCGACCAAGATCCCTGCTTCAAAAGTAGCTCTTCCGCTGCAGGAAGCTGTGGCACAGTGCTGGGAGCTAGCCTGACTCTGAGGCCGTGCTGGTCTTCTCCCTGAGCCTGAGGCTACCCTGGTGGGATGGATACCCCTCCCTGACTTTCTGGCCTTCCTTGCAGCTGACTGTTAGAAGACAGTTAGGGCTGGACTCCCTTGCTCAGAACTCCAAAGGAGCTGCTACCACTTTACTGCACATGGTCGGCAGTCGGGATACCGACCTTCAACCTAGTACAGCCCTGGGAGAGTCTGGGACCCCTGATCTCCCACATTACCCCAGGAAGTTAGTTCCCGCTTGGTTGCATTCACTAATGGAAGCCTCAAGCCTCATGCCTGTGGTCAGCAGCACTGAGTGCTGTTTGGGTCTGTTCTGCTCTGGCTGTGGCTCTGACAGAATAGGTGTTTGCTGACAGGTGCACTCCCTGCTCAGGCTGTCACACAGGTGAGAGGACCGTCTCAGGCCTTAGCCTGGTTCCCTCCACTCTCTCAAGCTGAGTGGCTCTAGTGCTCTCACCTGGGTCTCACTGCTGCTTCGGAGGAGAGGGTGGGTGCAGGACTGGGGGTGAGGCGGGCCTGGCCAGCAGTTGCGCAGACAGAGGCCGATGCCCACAGAGCCAACAGCTTGCAGCGTGGTGTATCATTGTGTACATGGTCTCCAGCAGACATCCTTACAGCATGCAGAGTTCTTTCCCCAGTCTCAAGAAACAATTTGATTGTACATCCCACTGGCCTGTGCTCTGGGGTACAGGAGCCAGCATCTGTTATCAGAGTGGAAATTGGGGGTACCTTGGGGTAAGAGGTCCCTCAAGCACCAGGTGGAGCTGAGTCTGTTTTCTGGGTCCCATAGATTTTGTTGGAATACACACTTGTCCTTTACTGTACAGTTCCCCGTGTAAGTTGACCAGAACTTGCTCCTTACTGTCTTTCTCAGTGTGCCTGTCTGGTCTGAGCTGGCTTTCCCACCTGTGCTCAGGAAGTTCAGGGCAAGTGGGGGTTGGAGACCTGTTGTCAGCTCCACTCTGTCTTGAGAACTTTGTAATGGGAACTCGTTTTCCAAGGCAGACCATAATGGGGATTTTTCTTTTGGTTTTGTTTTTGAGACAAGGTTTCTCTGCGTAACCCTGGCTGTCCTAGAACTCACTGTGTACACCAGGCTGGCCTCAAACTCACAGAGGTCCATCTACCTCTGCCTCCCAAGTGCTGGGATTAAAGGTGTGCCCCACCATACCTGGCCTTTAATGGGAGTTTTTCAGGAAGCTTGTCTCCCAGCATCAGCAGAGTTATGTTTCTGGGTGATTTTTGTTGTTGTTGTTGTTGTTGTTAAGCTGAAAAAGCTGAAGGTTGAAATAAATCATTCAAAGTCACGGATGAGGTGTTGCCTTTCCTTGTCAGTCTCCATGGAATTGGTAAATGATAATCCCCATTGAAAATAACTGACATAAAATGACCAACAAATGTCTTTATCTTTGGTCCAGAGCATTTAGGAGAGCCTACTTTACTGGGCCCCTAGGGACAGAACACCAGGGCCTGTCAGCGTCCCCTGGGCTCTGTTCTCATCAGGGAGCTCTGTTTCCACGATGGAGCAGCAGCCCTTTGTCTCCCAGCCCACTCAGCACTCTCCAAGGCCTTCTCCACTGATGGGTGGGAAGTGCATTTAGGGAGAAGTGACTTTTCTGTGGCTTCTGGAAAAGGTCATGTCTGCCACCAGCTGGAGAGATACAGAATACATTGAGCCGGGTCAGAAAGTGGCCTGGGAGGCTGGCTCTGCTACCCTGCAAGAGTTAGTGCCCACACTGAGAAGGACTTATCTGGGCCTGCAGACCATGATGTAAAGCCTCTCTAGCTTCCTTCAGGGGTTGATTTAAACTTCCATCCGGATCCTCTAGCCTTTGTGTCCAGTGCCAGGTTTCTGTTCTTTACCATGGTGGTGCTAGGGGACAGGAACCTTGATACAGGACAGGCCATGAGGGCACAGCAGGGGAAGTCCTCCTCAGTTGTGCTAGCTTTCACCACTGCCTTTTGGGGAGCAGATGCCCCTGGAGACTGTGACCATACCTGTTTTAGTATGCCACCCCCATAAGCATTGTCCCCTAAATCTCTCCTTCATGAGAAGGATTAGTGTGCTGAATTTCAGGACTGGGTCTCCAAAGAGCTTAAGAAAGGAGTTTAGGGTGTGATGGGGACAAGGGGCTCTGAGCCCGAGTCCCGTCGTAGGATGGATGTACTGACTTAAGGGGACACAGATAAGATAGCATCCCCACTTGGCACACTAGGTAGCCATGGTTCCTGCCAGAAGAGCCAGGGCTTCCTAAAGAGCCCCACACATTCATGAGGTACACCAGGCTCCAGCCTGCTGAGGTATCTGGCCATAGATGGGCTTTTTCTCACACTTGAGAGTGGTAGTTCTCTCCCCCTGGCCCTGGATGGACCTGGGCATCTCTCAGCTGTTTGGTGCTGATTTTTTTCTTTTGTTTGTTTGTTTTTTTCAAGACAAGGTTTTTCTGACAGCTGTCCAGAACTCACTCTGTAGACCAGGCTGGCCTCAAATTCACAGAGATCTACCTGCCTCCACCTCCTGAGTGCTGGGATTAAAGGCGTGCACCGCCACCACCCAGCTTCCTTGGTGCTGATTTTTATTTATTTGTTTTTAAAGAGTAGGCCAGGACTGGAGAGATGGTTCAGTGGTTAAAAATACTTGCTGCTCTTAGAGAGGACCCAGGTTCCATTCCCTGGTGGCTCATAATTGCTTGTAACTTCAGTCCAGAGCTATCTGGTACTTTCTTTTGTCTTCTGCAGGTACCAGGCATGCATGTGCTACACACATACATGTATGTGTAGACACTCACACATACATATATAAATAAATATTACAAGTCAGAAGCCATTCAGAAAAGCTTTTTGAGTTTTGGCTCTTAGACATCAAGGCAGGGAACCAGTAAAGGTCCTCTGGCCAGGCAAGAGGCCACCTCGCTGTTTCCTGTCACAGAACTGTGGAACCAGGAACTACTGCCTCTCAGGAAACTTGAGGAGGCCAGGCCGAGTTAGAAATAGCAGCAGTACTGGGATCATCCCAAACGCACAGTGGAGAGGTGATTCAGGCAGTATCTGGTGGTATGATGAGGGGTTGTAGTACCACAGAATTTATCATCACTTGTAGGGCCCTTCAGGAAGAAAAGGCCCCAGGAAAGTCAGCAGCAGGTCGAATGAAGCTCTGGGTTGCCAATGATCACCCCCACCTCAGATGAGAGGTGAGGCCCTGAATTCCTGTGCAGCCCAACAGGGCATCCTGCCTTGCCAGCTCAGATGTGCCCAGCCATTATTTGGCATTGCTGTGGGTCACATGGGGGCAGCATATCCAGTCTGTGACCCAAATGCCCTGCACAGCCCTACTCTTTGGGGTTGTATGGGAGCATGCACCTAAATAATGGTATGCACAGGGGTCACTGCGAGTTCTTGTTTCTCTTGCCACAGTAGTTGAGAAACTTGACCTCAGCCTGGCCTTGTGGTACACAACTAACGCTAACACTCAGGAGGCTGAGGCAGGAAGATTGTGAGTTTGAGGCTAGCCTGGACTGTGTCAGAAGAAGAAAAAGAGAGGAAGCTTCGATCTCCATAGCTTACAGCTGGCTACAAGGCCTGTCATCATTCCTCCTGTCTTGGGGTCTTTGGTCCAGGTGGTGCTCTGGGTCGGCCTGGGCGTCCTGGTGGTCAGCACACTCACTACCCTGTCTGTGAGCGAAGAAGCCCCTCTGGACTTGACACCAGAAGCTCGAAGTGGCCGCCGAGGAGATGCCGAGGGCGGGGTGAAAGTGGAGTCTGCCCGGCTGTCAGGTATGTACACAGACCCCACCCTAAATCCCCTGAACTTTCCTGGTGTGAGTGTCCACAGCATCAACTCAGGGTCACGGGTAGTGCTTTCCAAGAAACCCCTTATTTCTGCTTTAAGGATTTTGCCTCTGTCCTGTGAGTGACGGAGCTAGTGGGAGGTTCTAGCCTTGGGCCCCACCAACTCCATTCCGTGAAGGTGTGCTGTCTACATGGAGGCTGGCCAGTGTGCTGCCACCTCTGTGCAGGTGACATGGGGGATGGCACAGTGCCAGCTTGTGCTCAGATCTCCATGCCTGGCCATTGTGGACACTGAAAGGTATGTAAATTTATGGGTGTTGCCCACATCTGGGTTTTTTGTTTTTTGGGGTTTTTTTTGAGGATGTAAATTTGAGCCAGTGTTCCCCTTGACAAACCAGCTAGTCTATCTCAGCGTTGTTTGCTGTTTTATGTTTTTCACTCTTGGCAGAATTACAAGTTCGTCACACAGTGGCAGGCGACCTCAGCAAGAATCTGTGGTGTTCCATTACTCCCATCTGTGGCCGTGCCACGGGGCGGGGCGGTGGGTGGGTGGGATGGGGTACAGGATGTGTGTTTTCAGAGTGTCATTCTCTGTGTATGTCTGTTTGGGGTGGTTGATGCACCCCCAGGCCTTCCCAGGTATAGCTGTAAGGGTAACACATTAGACTAAAAGTCAGTGAGGTTTGGGTCTAGATTTATGGAGCGTCTGACTAGCTCTGGCTCTGGGGAGGCATGGGTAGGGAAGAGCCCCATCCTCCCTGGCGAAGTTTGGGCTGTTGTGTAGGTGCTGGCCAGTCACTTATCCCGGAGACATTGCCTGTAGTGTACAGAAGAGAAGGGCACAACCTGATGCACTTGCTGGGAGCTCTTAGCACCTTTGATACAGAGGTCCTCAGATTTCTGTCATCTCTGTCAGGGCTCCACATCCAGTGCCATCGCCTTGGTAGCTGTGCCCCAAGGTGCTCTCCTGGGCCGCCCTCTTCATTCAGCCCAGGGCTTGGAAGTAGCTGCTGATGCTGTCCTCTGTCTTCTTGGATTGGCAAAGGCAGAGAAGAGTCCTCCTTTCCCAGCTCCCAGGAATCCAGAGGCGAAGGACAGACAAGGTCACTGGGGGACCCTGGGCACAGCTGGGTTCTCAGAGGTTGAAGATGGAATGTTGAGAAGCTGCAGGGGCCATGTCTTAGGTGGCAGTAGATTGGGTAATTTGGATTGAAAAGAAGTCTGCTTGAGGAAGGAGGTGCCCATGTATGCCCATCCTAGCTAATGGACACTTCCTTCCAGAAGAGCCAGTCTGATGCCGCTGCCCGTGCCACCAGGCCAAGAACAGATGTTGACATGAGAATGGCAGCATGAGAGGGAAGGGGTGTGTGGTGGTGAGGGTGGTGTCTGGTGAGCTGCTGTGGTGCCCTGCTGTGCTGTGGTGCCCTGTGGGTAGCAAGGACATCATGACCCTGTGTACCTTGAGGTCACCCCAGCAGAACTCTGCAGTTCTGTCTCACTAGGGCAGTAATGAGTTTCTCTTCAGTCCAAACTCAGGCTCCTATGTGTGGAGCCTCAAGTCATAGCCAGCAGCTGTGTCCCGTCTCTACAGCATGTACAGGCCGCCTGCTCCTCACCTGTGCTCTCCAAGGCCACATCTGGTTTCCATTTCTTCACGAGGCTATAACAACACACATGCTCCTCTCAGAACCACATGCTGTCTGTTTTTAGCTAGTTCTGTTTTCTAGCCACCCAGCCTCTCTTAATTGAGGGCTTGCCTCATTTGGGCAGGGCTAGGGCTAAGGGCTTCTCTGACTGTCCTGCCAGCTGCACCATCAGGGTAGGAGAGCCTCGTTAATTGGTCTCTTTGATCTTGTGGGGTCACAGACAGAATCTGCTTGCTCTGGTGAGAGCCCAGCATGTGCTGTGACTGTGTCGTACCCTCACATGGCACACGTGACCATCAGGTGCAGCCTGGGGCCCCATGCTTGGTCTTGTGGGCCTTTGGTGAGCCTGGCCGAGTCCCTGTGAAAGCTAAGAAGACAATTATCCATTTAAAAAGTCTAATTAGGCCATTTATCTCTGTGCCTGATGGTTCCCTGGATGGTCCTGGGGATGGATTTGGATTTTGTGGTGTTGCGGCTCCTTCCCTGCTGCGCCGTGGTTGCTTCCTTTCTTCCTCTTGCCCACCCACCTCGTGCACCATGGGGCAGCACAGCTCAAGTCCACATCCCGGTCCCCTTTCTCCTGCAGCATGGGGGCAGCACTGGTTAGTGGGAAGTCGAAGTTAGGGGGGCATGCTGTACAGCCATGGGGTATCGGTGACTTGAGGAGTCCTCCTGTGGTAGACCTTCCCTCTGTCTTGTCGTCACTCCCTCTCTGGGACCTTCCGTGGTTTCTGTTGCTGCCTGTCTTGGCCACTCTTCTTGTGGAGGTGACAGAGGCCCCAGCACCTTTGATAGTATCAAGATGTGTCCTGGAGAGACCCTGCCACTGTATGCCCCTCTCCTGGGCTGACTCCTTGACAAGGGGGTCCTGTCACCTCTCCCTTGTGCTGTGATGAGGTTTTAAAAATTCTTTGCGTCGCCTGCTCCTTGCTCATACGATAATCTTTTTTTTTTTTTTTTTTTTTGAAATGGCAGTCCTGGATCTCACTCTGTAGACCAGGATGGCCTTGAACTCACAGAGATTCGCCTGCCTCTGCCTCCCGAGTGCTGGGATTAAAGGCTTGCACCACCATCTTGCTATGATCTTGTTCAGTTTTTCTGCTGGTGTGCCAGGAGACATCAATGGGCTCATTTCGCTAGCTTCCTCTGAGGTGATGGTACTCATGGGACCTGCTGGATTAGAAGGACTCCCCTTGGGTAGCTGCTGGCCTGTGTCAAATCCAAGTGTCTAGGGCTGTGGTGCTGCTCGAGAGGCACAGTGCTGGCTCTCCCTTGCCACCCACCACACACGCCAGTTTGAGGAAGAACCAGCAATGAAGAACAGGGGAGACTTCTTGCTGATGCCAAGGCTCCACAGTGCTGGTCCCGGCCATCAGCCCAGCCCTCCAGCTCCCAGGAGCTTATGGTGTGAGCCATATTTGGAAAGGTGAGCTATGGAGCCATCCAGCTAAGCCCAGAAGATTGGGCTGTAAGTCAGACCTCAGCAAGTGACATTTTCCTCACTGGAGCCTGGAGAACAAAGCAGAAGCTCTCTGGAGCAGGGTCTGGCTTTCAGAAAAGTGTTAGGCCATTTCTCTTACTTCTTCAGGAACCCTGGTCGCTGAGCCCCTAAAGGTGGGGCTGCTCTTGCACCACCAGGGCTCATCCCCTGGTGGGATGAGGGGATGTTCTAGGACACAATGTTCTAGCATCTGGGGTGGATGCCAGCATCCAGGGGTGAACATTCCCATCTCTACCAACAAGAAGACATCCAGGGAGAACAGGTGAGGCCGGCAGAGCTGCACTGGGATGCAGAGCCTGCTCTCCAGCTCCTGGTTGCCCTGAGAGATGGAAGCAGCCTCAAGCCAGGCAGTCAGGTGGACTGGTAGAGGTTGTCTCCAAGAGGGCAGGAGGACAGGGAGGGGGACGACAAGGGGAAGGCTTACAGCCCGCAGCAGGCCTTGCTTCATGAGCAAGGCCTCATGAGGCAGGCCTTTGGGCCCTCTTCTCACTGAATGAAGGACACTTTTGATGAAGCTGTCATCTGCTATCTATGAGGCAAGACTCCTGTCTGACCCCTAGGGAAGTACTGCAGCAGGTGAGCACATGACCTGTCACCTCATTGGTCCATTCCTGTGTGTAGGAGGAGCCCGAGACCTGGCTGGAATGTGGCAGCAAGTAGCTACCATAGGAGATTCTTTGCTGGCTCCAATTACTAGTGCTATTTGCAGGCCTGGTGACTATGGGGATAGCCTGTAGACTGTGTGAGGGGTCTGTGGTGGACAGGGTATTGCATTGGTGGGCAGGAAGCATTGGTGTGCTTCCTTGGAGCCATACTAGACCTTCACTTTTTGGTTGTCAATTGGCCTATGGGGCAGGTGAGCCAGTCACCACTGCCTTGTTTCCTGTTTCCACCCTGTGGTTGCCTTGAAATTGGAAGCAGATTGCCGGGGGTAGGGGGGTGTTCTTGCTCCTCAGAGCTGCCAGCTTTGAAAGTTTGTTTGGTTGTGGCCGAGGGCATTGTCAGTATCCATCCATGATGAAAGGTCTGGTTCCGTCTTGGAGAAGCCATGCCCATCTGGCGGGGCCCGTCTGCTAGTAGTGTGGTCTAGAAAACCTCGACAGCCTCTCCTTGTCCATCCAGTTCCTGTCCTAGACTACAGGCAGGTATGGCGTTCCTGGAAGGCCTCCCAGAGGAGCTTCAGGGCCACTCCATACCTGCATGGTCACTTATACCGTGGTACTTCCCCCGGGGCTCCAGACAGTGAGCGCAGGCTACCCCTCACCTGAAAATGAAGAAGACACCACTCAGAGTAGACTGTGATTTGGACAGGGAGCTTCTATTTCTTTCTCCCCCCTGATTTATGGGTGCATCTTTCTTGTACCAGGGAGTTACCATGGGATGAAGACTGTGGGGGCGGGCGGTGTTTGGCAGGGGGCAGGGTATCACACAATGGCCCATCAGAATAGTGATGTGGTAGGATCACCTCCCTTGGAAGAGGACAATGAGGAAAGCCACCTGCGTTAATCAGCCTTGTGTGGCCAAACTGACAGTTGAGTTTGGGGAAGCAGAACCTCAGAACTGTGTACAATTGGGCCCCATGTTGTCTGGAGCTGGATGTGCTAAACAGCTTAGAGGCCAGCAGCATCTCCTTGTTTCTGTTTGTTTTTCTAGACAAGGTTACTCTGTGTAGCCTTGGCTGTCCTATAACTCGCTCTGTAGACCAGACTGGCCTTGAACTCACAGAGATCCACCTGCCTCTGCCTGCCGAGTGCTGGGATTAAAGGCGTGCGCCACTACTGCCAGCTTGTTGTTGTTGTTGTTGTTTTTTGTTTTTTTTTAAATAGGATCTCACATAGCCCAGGCTGGCCTCCAACTCTATATAGCTGAGGATGACCTTGAATTTATAATGTTCCTGAATCTACCTCCAAAGTACTAAGATGATACTAGTTTATGCCCTGCTGAGCCTGAGCCCTGACCAGGGCCTATGCATGCTACCAACTGTGCTAGATCCCCATCCCCAGCTCTCAAAGGTAGTCTACGAAGCTAGTGTTCTCCAGTTCTGTGACACTACTGTTCTTGATGGAGCATGGATCCCATGCATGTGTGGGTGTGTGAAGGGCGATGCTGGTGGCCTCCCCTTTTGTTCTCACCTGTGGTGTGCATTTCTTCACCAACAGCAAGAGGTTGGCAGGCCTGCCCAACCACATCCGGTGTACTCTTCCTTAAAGGCCTCAGTCTAGGCAGTAGGGCAGGCAGTTTGGTGCCTGTTGGGAGACCCAAGGGACAGGCATTGGCTGTGTGCTCATACTGCCACCTGGTGGTTTTGGACAAGTATTACATAGCGTGGTCATCTGCCTATAGCTATAAATTGAATTTTGACATTTTTTTATATTATGAATGAAAGAATGTTTTCTGTGCTCCTTCGCTGGTAATAACGATTGGACAGGAAGAGACTCACCCCCACTCTGCCATTCGGCTTTGATATGTGGTTCTGATCTTAGGAGGATGACCCAGTCTGGACTGGTTGCTAGAGGCTCACTGTGCTGTGCTTGCAGTCCAGGATCCCGTTGTGGTTGTTGCTGAGGATAGTCGGGAGAAGCCAAAGCTTCCAGAGGACAAAGAGGTACTGGAGCAGGCCCAGATTAAGGGTCCTGTAGATGTGCCTGGAGGGGAGATCCCTGAGGAGAAGCAGGAAGCTGCACAGCTGGACCGCCCTGCTCAAGGTAAGTGGCGCTAGCTGCCTTGACAGAGAAAGGCTTCAGCAGCCCTGTGTGGCCTGCGTGTCTTCCCTCAGCCCATACAACTGCCCACTGCTGTCCCCCTTGTAGCGTTAACATTCTAGGAATCCTGCCAGTCCTCAGATAGCTGTGGAGGGATCTGAGGCAGTGGCCCATGTCACACTCGTGGGAGCCAGAGACCAATTCCCTAGGAGGCTAAAGTGGGACCTCTCTTCAGCCTGATCTCAGCCTGTCCTTGTGTCCTTCCAGGTATTGCTGTCCCTGTGGGCGAGGCCCACCGCCATGAGCCTCCCATTCCTCATGACAAAGTGGTGGTGGATGAAGGTCAAGACCAAGAAGGGCCAGAAGAGAAAAAGCCACCTCCCAGGCTCACAGATGAAGGGGACCCTGGGGACAGGGGGCAGGTGGCACCACCTCCACCTGAGTCAGAGAAGGAAAAGCAGGAACCTGAGAGAGGAGAAGAAGGGAAAAGACCTGAGCAAGCCCTGGCAATGGGGGAAGATGACCATCCCCAGAAAGTTCCAGAAGCAAATGACCAGCCACCTGTCCAGCCCAGGAAGGAAGATTCCAGAGCAGACAATAGGGATCTGCATCCGGCCCCCCAGTCCAGGCTCTCTGTGGAGCAGAATGCTCTGGAGGCTGGTGAAGGTGTCCAGGCCGTGCAGAAGGCCGCAGGGGTCCCACAGAAGCCTGTGGAGAGTGACCTGGAGAGCAACATTGGTGAGTGCCAGCCTCCTGGAGATTTTCTCAGAGGAAGCTCCCTTGGTAGGTGCTGCAGGAACCCGTTAGTCGTCCTCAGTCCCCAGCTCTCATTTCACAAGATTAGCATGTGAGTGTCGTAGCCCCTTCAGCAGCTGGTGGAGTAAAGAAGAGCCTGGTGGCCTGACAGCTTCTGTAATATCTGTCGCACAGTTGTTTGCCAGACCACTAAATGTCAGGTGCCATGCTGTTCTCCTGTGTCTGGGCGCACACGGGGGACAGTGCAGGAACGCTTGACAGGTAACACATTGTTAAGTGCTGTCTAAGAGCTGGTTAGGACGGTGCTTGCATTTTAATTGGCGAAGGTAGTTAACATTGGCTCACTGCCATCAGCTTGTGAGATTGTTAAATATTTTTTTATTACTTCCCTGGTAATCATCAGGTTGAATATAAACTGTGCTGGGGGTGGGGGCTAGCTATGGAGTCACTGCAGGGAACCTCTGCCAGCCCCTCACCCCACCCCTGACTTTCTGACTTCCCACAAACCAGCTGAGTCTCCCTGTGTGCAGGTGGGAAGGCGGGCCTCCCTGCACACAGGCCAGAGGCTGCAGCGGAGAAGGAGCAGGAGGAGGCCGAGCAGCCAGGTGGAGACCAGGCAGGGAGCAAGCTGGAAGGTGAGGCTGCCTCCGACCCTCAGAAGGAGCCCCAGAGTGAGGTGGGATGGGGTGGGTGCTCCTGGATCCCTCCTGCTCCACAATTCCTGTTCCTTGGTTTTTATGCCAAGGAAGCACCTTCAGTGACCCCCGGCTATTTCCTACCAGTAGCTTTCCTCTGGCACCTCTTCAGGACCGTTTTTATCTCCCTTTTTCCCCTTAAAAAGTGTCGCGTAGTTACATGGCTTTTCTTTGTTTGTTTTTTGTTTTGTTTTGTTTTTTTCAAGTCAGGGTTTCTCTGTGTAGCTTTGGAGCCTGTCCTGGACTAGCTCTGTAGCCCAGGCTGGCCTTGAACTCACAGAGATCCGCCTGCCTCTGCCTCCCAAGTGCTGGGATTAAAGGTGTGCGCCACTGCCGCCCGGCTTGTTTTATGTGGTTTTTGATTACCATTTTTATTTCATCTTAAAGCATGTATGCTGCTATTTCCCCAACTCAGGGTGTGTAAAGCCAGCTGGGGGTGAGGCCCTAGGACACCAGGTGTGAAGACTCATCTGAAAGCTGTGCCTTAGGTGGAGCTGTGCATTAGTGGGCTGGGGCAGCGTTGGTGGTCAGCAGCATGCCCTGTGTCCTCAAGTAAAGGCCTGCGCTGGCATCTGAAGTTCACTGTGGCTGACTCGCCCGGAGTTCTCTAAACTTCCGTGTTCATTTTGACTTTTTATGGTCGATCCCACAGTATTTAGTGTACAGGGAAGGTGGTGGTGGTGGCCCTCCCAGGGGCCCTCCAGTGACAAAGCCCACCTGAAGTCTGACCCCTGGTCTGGCATGAGGAGCAGACAGTGGGCTGCGTGACTCTCCTGGATCAAACTCTCTGTACTGCCCAGGCCATCTCTGAACCGGGCCTGCCTTGAGTGTTCATACCCTACCTCGCAATGGGTGTGAAAAGATCCAGGGTTTGCTTCTCACGTGGCCCTGCAGGCCAGACTCCAGCAGCTGCCCAGCAACTGCAGCTGAGATGGGACTGCTCCAGGCTGACCGTCAGTGTGGGCCTGGGAGGCGGAGCTCACAGGCTCCCTCTGCCTCACTGGAGCTTACAAGTGGCTTGGTAAACCCCCCACGCTTGCTGTTTTTCTCTGTGGTTTTAGTCTGACTGTATTTGTTGGTTGTAGTTTCTGTAATCTATCACTTAAACATGTTTGATTCTTTGTTCTTTTTCTTTCTGAAGAAGAGACTTTTCATTATTCCCTATTGTGCCTCTCTTCCATGTGCCTCTCAATGGGATGGACAGCTGAGATTAAAAAGCTAGTAGCAGGTATGGCTCAGGACTGTGTTGCAAGGGAAGCATGTGTGTGGAGGTTCTGACAGTGTGGGAACAGCACCTAGGTGGCATACTCCACTTGTGAGGGCCCTGCATGAATATGTGTCAGTCCCGAGGAAGTGGTACCCTTCCAGATGCAGCACAGCCCCCAGGTGGCATCTCTGACACTCCAGCTCCCTCCTTTCAACTTTACTTCTTCTCAGCCCCTGTGGCCTTGTCCTCAGAGGACAGCCAAATGGTGTCTATAAGTAACTTAAGGTACCACCTGAGCTAGAGACAGGGTTGGGACTGCATGTACCTGCTGATGCTGTGTGTGGCTTGCATCCATGTATCCCACGGTGTCTAGTATGGGGGTTTCCATCCCATCTGGTCCTGGCAGATTCTGGCTGGGAAAAGCCAGTCCCTATGGTGTCTCACCTTTGCCACATGGGGCTTCCAGCTGGACATGGTACCATTCTTTCTGTCCCAGAACCAACTCAGCTAGTCCACTAAGGAGTACATGAGACATGGGGTCTGCTCTTGCAGAACCTTGCTTTAGTGGTTGGGAAGTGCCAGCAACGTGTGTAACTTTGTCTTTATATAACTGGTAGTTTTATGATCATTCAGTCAGGGTGAGGTGTGGCCTGTTGGGGAGACTGCTTTGAGTTTTTTCATGTGAAGGGAGAAGAAAGGAGGCCTTTCCTTCCCAAGCCAGTGTCTGAACCTTAGATATCGGCAAAAGGGATAGCACTGTCCTGTTGGTCAACTCTGTTCTCCTCATGGTGGGCCCCAGTACCCTCACCTCTGTTCGACTTGCCTTTCTTTCCTTGCATTAGCTACTGAGGGTTTTGGGGAGACCCTAGAGGTGTTCATGGGCATTCGTCACTGCTCCTGAAAGGACACTGACCATGAACTGCTTCAGCTAGTTACTGGTGCGGAGCCTGTGAGTGTGTGCCCTGCCCTGCACCTGGGAGCTATGTGGCCCTGGCTAGCTCACAGATTCTGCTTGCCTATATCTCTTGTGTGCTAGGATTAAAGGTGTGCTCCGTTCTCACCCCTAAACAACATGTTTTTATGCTCTGACACCTGGTCCTTCACCCACCATCTTCTAAAGATGCCTAATTTTAAAATGTATGACTTGTGAAAATTAACCTGCCTTAGCTGCTTGCTGTGGATAACTGGCCCAGTGCTGAGGTGCTTGTAGTGAGAGGCCAGCCAGCCCCTGCTGCACTTGTTGGTGGCCCCCAGCAGCAGCTGGGGTGAGACTGGGCCGTACCCACCAGTGTCACGTGGATGGGACATAGCATAGGCAGGCCTTCGTCTTCCCTGTCTGTCCAGTGTCTTAACCCCCTGATCTCACCCCTGCTGACCTGGAGCTCCCTTCTTTCCTGAGGCTGCCACTAAGTGTCTGGGCCACAGTGATAGGTTTGCATGCTCCACTTGAAGACTTTTTTTGTTTTTAAGATTCTCTACATCTTGGAAGAAATCTTCTTAAAATATTAACACTTTAAAAAAAAAATAGCTTTTAGGTTTTATTTTCCCTTGTGTTAGTCCTAGAACAACTATGTGAGGTAGTAGGGGAGAATCACCCAGCTCAGAGAACCTGTAACTTTTTGGTACATTCCTTCTTAATTTTTGTCTACACGTGCACTTTCAGCCAGCAACAGACAGGGAGCTTGCATCTGCCAGTGTGTCTGAACCACTGAGGTAAGAGTAGAAGCGGGCGGCACTGTTGCTGCCCGGGAAGGCTGCCCTGGAGGCTCATCCTGATTAGGGCTTATGCCTCTAGCCTTAGCTCAGTGCTTCACTGCTGTGCCAGTGGGACTGAGGTGATGCAGACAGTGGTGCTGATATGGGCATGGCAGGACCAATTCCCCCACGGGTCACTGTGTGCCTTACAAGGCCATCGGTACGGCGGGTTTCTGGCAACCCTATCTGGAGTCCATCTGATTGTGTGTGTCCCCCCAGAAGCTGGGAGGGCGGAGATGCTGGACCATGCCGTGCTGCTGCAGGTGATCAAAGAGCAGCAGGTGCAGCAGAAGCGCCTCCTGGACCAGCAGGAGAAGCTGCTGGCTGTGATCGAGGAGCAGCACAAGGAGATCCGGCAGCAGCGGCAGGAGGACGAGGAGGACAAGGCTAAGCCTGGTAGGTAGAGTCCCGGGGAGCAGACGGCCAGACAGGCCAGGCCTGGGGCTAGAGCTGAGGCTTGGTGGCAGGAAGTGTGGAAGGAGAGTTTTGGTCTTGATGAGTGATCCTTTTTATTTATTTTTAGATTTATGTAGTTTTATTGTGTGTGTGTGTGTGTGTGTGTGTGTGTGTGTGTGTAGGCTAGAAGAGGATGTCAGAGCCCCTAGATCTGGAGTTACAGACAGTTGTGAGCTGCCTGAATAGGTGCTGGGAATGTAGCTCTGGTCTTCAGCAAGAAGAGCAAGTATTCTTAACTGTTGAGCCATCTCTCCAGCTCTTAGTCATTCTTTTTCTGTTTTTGTTTTTCGAGACAGGGTTTCTCTGTGTTGTTTTGGTGCCTGTCCTGGATCTCTCACTCTGTAGACCAGGCTGCCCTCGAACTCACAGAGATCCGCCTGGCTCTGCTTCCCGAGTGCTGGGATTAAAGGCGTGCCCCACCACTGCCCGGCTCTTAGTCAGTCTTAAATGTTTGAAAGATTCTTTTCAGTCAGTAAATCAGCAGCTTGTGTTCATTTCTGTGACCAAACTGATGCTCACCTTCATTTGCAGCAGACATGCAGCCAGAGCCTGGGATGGCAGCACTCAGAGGACCAGAGGAGGAGACCTGGAATGAGCATGCTGGGGAGACAGTGGAAGAGGAACCTCCACAGCCTTTGCAACCTGTGCTTGGAGCTCCTAGAGGTCGCCCTGCTTCACCCCAAGAGATGGGCCAGCAACCCCTGGAGGAAGCCAAGGCAGGGCCAGGCAGAGACCTTGCTGACCTTCCTGTTGGTGGCTCTGATACAGAGCCCCAGGGGGTCCAGACTAAGCTAAGAGAAGACCAGAAGGGTGCTGTGCTTAAGGTGGCTGGAGCTGGGGGGAAGCTGGCCCCCGGGGACTTGGAACCAGTGCTCAAGCCAGACCCTGCTCTGGCACCCAAGAGTCCAGAGAAGCAGTTTGCAGAGAAAGTAGCCAGGCAGCACCAACATGCCTTTGGTGGAGGTTCCCAAGAAAGGAAGGAAACTGTAAAGGAAGCAATGGCCACTGGTGCCAATATTCCCAAAGAGGCTGCCCAGCCCTTGGCAGGGGCAGAGGCTGAGGACTCTCGCGCAAAGTCCAGGCAATCAGGACCCACCATGGTCCCAGCTAGGCCAGCAGATACAGGCTTTCAGCCCCAAGCTAGGTTTCAGCAAGAACCCCAGGCCATCTCTGATAAAGGTCAGGATTCTCACCCAGAGGTAAGAAGTGAGGCTCCCCGAGGGGTTCGCACACCTGCCGAGGGGCAGCACACAGGGAAGGAGGAGGACACCGTCCTGGAGGCAAAGAAGAGGCCAGATCCTAATTCTGGGCCCAGACGAGCTGTGCCTGGGGGTCAGAAGCCAGAGAATGCCAAACCCAACCGAGACCTGAAAGTGCAGGCTGGCTCTGACCTCCGGAGGAGACGGCGGGACCTTGCCTCTCATCCAGAGCAGGAGCTGGCTCCGAAGGATGGAGTCATCATTAGCTTTAACTCCCTGCCTAATGTACAGGGGAACGACCTCCGCGGTGCCCTGGACACCCAGCTCCGTCAGGCTGCAGGGGCCGCGTTACAGGTGGTACACAGCCGGCAGATTAAACAGTTGCCTGGAGACCTGGAGGAGGCGTGAGAACCAGCATTGGACAGCAGCATTGACTGGAGGCCACACTCTTGTGTCCTCACGATGAGCTGGGAAAGCCTAACCCAGACATCTTGTCACTCAGTGGTGTCACTTGCTCCAAGGCTTCGCCAAGGCACTCGCCAGCCCAAGTATGGTTTGGGCCTTGAGCCAGCCCAGGAAAGGTAGTGCCGAGGTCCAGCTCTGCTGCTGCACCGCCACAGCTCTTGTCTGGTCAGCACTGACAACTCTGACTTGACTGTCCCATGTTCTCCACGGTGTGGGAAACCCCCTGGGGAGGCCCAGGGTTGGGTATAACTTGACTTGGGTTGGGGAAGGAGGTACATGGCCTTCCTGGTTTCCTATCATACACATTCTTTGAAATTGATTATGAAACAAAAAATAAAACATCACTAACATCTAGTGGGTCAAGTTGATTTACCTAAAGGATAAACTTACTTCAAGATCCTGGTACCAAACAGGGCCTACAGGTCATGGGGTACATTCCCCAGCCATCATCGCTGGATTCAGATGGTAAGTACAGTTGGGGACTCTACAGGCAGCTTGGTTCTGTGTGTCACGCTGACCCCTGTTGTAGGGAGGTTGAGTTGTCTTCATTCGCTTACCAAGTAAGGCACTTGTGAGATTAAGGGACAAGAACCTGGTTTGTCCCCAAGCCCTGCTATGAAGGACTTGGAAGGCCCAGGAGTCTCAGTGGAGTCATGTGAACCAGGCCACACCCCACTGTGTGCTCTCTCTGCACCTCTTGAAATATATTTTATTACATTTTTTAAGAAGTTAAGATTTAGGCTGGGCAGCAGTGGTGTACACCTTTAATCTCAGCACTCAGGAGGCAGAGCCAGGTGGATCTCTGTGAGTTCGAGGCCAGCCTGGGCTACAGCGCGAGTTCCTGGACAGGTACCAAAACTACACAGAGAAACCCTATCTCGAAAAACCAAAAAAAAGTTAAAATTTATGTGTATGAGTGCCACACAGATGTATGCCATCAGATGCATGCAGTGCCCTTGGAGGTCCAAAGAGGGCGTCAAATACCCTGGAACAGGAGTTACAAATGGTTTTGAGCTGCCATATGGGTGCTGGGCATCAAACCTGGATCCTCTATGAGTGCCCTTAAACACTGAGCCATCTCCCAGGCCCTTGTTACAATTTTTAAAAAGATGTCGTTGGACAGCTTGAAAAGCCAGAAAATGACAGCAGTGGAAGCTTCCACAGGCTCAAAGAAGGGATGTGCCAGTGAAAGGCAGTTCTCGGGCTTCCTCCCAGCCTTTCTTTCTAAAAACAGTTCCAAACAAGCTATTATTTGGCGGTTAGATGGTTAGATGGCCATCCTCTTGGATTGGAACTCTTATCACCTTGCTGGAACTGGGTTTTTCGCACAGCTTGATATTCTTGAATACCCTCCCTTGACTTGTGTTCTTGAGCAGGCAGGGCTGTCCCTGCCCCCAGCCCTTCCTCCTAGCTAACCCCCTAACCCTTCTGTCAACAGCCTTCAGATAAGGGACGTCTTCCAGCAGAAGGCACAGACCTGCGGGAGGGGGGCTTTGCTACTCAGCTGCAGAAGTGCTGAGGCAGACAGTACCTCCACCTGCCAATTGAGCTGCTGCTTTTAGTAGGTGTCGATCACCTGGTACAGGCTACTGGAACATGGTGCCTGTCCACAAGGGTTCTGCTGTAGCACTGCTATGCTTGTTCGCAGGGCTGCCAGGCCAGGATGCATGCTTCTGCCCCTGGAGCAGCAGAGCAAGGCAGAAAAAACAGTGGAGCTCAGGTTCTCAAAGGAACAACAGATAGCCCAGGCTGTGGTGGTGCACACCTTCAATCCTAGCACTCCAGGAGGCAGAGACAGGCAGATCTGAGTTCAAGGCACCCTGGTCTACATAGGGAGTTCCACCAGGGCTACACAGAGAAACCTTTTCTTGAGAAAAAAACAACAAAAAGGAATAACAGATCTCATCTGAGGCCAAGACATTTGCTGTGGTTCAGTGTGGCCCCTCTAAAAACCGGGGGTTCCAAGTAAGAGTACCAGGAGGAAGTTTAAAGTGCTTAGGATACAAAGGTAGGATCCTTGCTGAGGCAACTTTTGTACTGTGGTCTCTTGCCCCATGAAAATTCAGCAGGAGGGCCCTCACGGTACAAAACCTTGACCTTTAACCTCTGGGCTTCCAGGCTGTGGGGAATACATTTGCACTCTTTGTAAATCCCCTGGTTCAGTATTCCACCCCAACAGCCCAAGTGGACTGACAGCATGCTTGAGCGGTCAGCGCTGTGCGGCTGACACAGCAGCAGAGACTGTCTCTACCGTAGCCAGTGGAAGTGTTCCTGAGACTGAGTCTGGAAACCAGAGAATAACGTAGGTCCAAAGGCCAAAGGCACCGGCACAGCTGTGGCCTGAGTACCTGAGAACAACTTGATTTATTTTGCTCAGTTTCAGTATTGTGATGCTTGGCCCATGTGATCAGGATGTTTGTTACAGCAGCTGGAGCATACTAGCATATGGTAGAGGTTTTCCATATCCTGTTGGACAAGAACTGGGGATCAGGCACAACCTTCAAAAGAATGCCTGCAATGACCTACTTCCTGAAGTTTCTAGAACCTCTCAAAATAGAACCACTAGCTGGGGACCGAGACTTCACTAACACTAGTCCACGGGAAGAGGGTTGTGCATGTGGAGGAATCTAATATTCAAACCGTGACAGAGTGGAAGGAGTGGTCCTGGAGGCCTGGGCTGTGCTGGGCCGTGGAAAGCAATGGATGTCTATCACCTCAGAGGAGAGGATGAAGAGACAGCAAGAGAGAACATTTTGCCAGACAAATCTGAGGGGACCTGAGCTCAGTGGGGCCCAAAGTTGGGAAGTCTTCAGGAGGAAGACTGAAGAAGGTATAGTCTGAGCTATCAAGAGGATTGAAGATGCTGTGGCAGGCTGGGAAGTCGGTCTGGCGAGGCTGGTCTGAACACACGGAGAGAAGAACACTGAGTAGGTAGTGCTTCTGACTGTGAAGGACAACCTAGTAATATCCCTGGACAGTCACTCATTCTGCTGCCTCGGTGGCGGCGGCAGCAGCGGGAGGGGTGGACTGTCAGTAAAACCATCAGGTCCCTTGAGACCCGTCATCACTGTCCACTGGGACAGAATCTATCTGACCTGGCTCTCTGCCATAGCCAAGAAGTCCTGTCTTGAGGTGGACTCAGAGTATCTATCAAACAGGTTTTCTAGAGGCTGGAAAGATAGCTGAGCAGTTAAAAACACATGGTGACTCACAACTGTAACTCCAGTTCCAGGGCATCCAACACCTTCTTTGGGCCTCCCTGGCTACCAGGCACATACACAGTGCACATACATACATACATCTAAAATACTCATTAAATAAATTTTAAACTAAAAAACATGATTTTCTCACTCTGGTAAGCTAGGCTAGTTCCAGAGTAGCAGTTAGATGCCACAGGGAGGCAGATTTTGGCATGAAGTGTAGGGCATGATGGTCTCTGGCCCTGTTCCCTGAACCAAGGCTCTGAGACAGGTGCAAACTGGTTCAAGGACAGCATGACCTCCACACGGAGTAGGACTGAGCAGTTCCTATGTTTCCCAGCAGGTGGCACTCACACACAGAATCTCTTGCTACACTTTGAAGTTTTTTAAACTCACCATGTGAAGAGGAGGGCAAGAAGGAAAGCCAGGAGCCATCATCTGTGACAGGCTGCAGGGATGGCTGTCCCCTCACTGAAAGTCCCAAGCAGAACCTCCTTGTTGACTTTTGTCGGGAAAAGCCTCTGCCCAATCCCTGGACAGCCATCTCTACGGCACTTCTTCCCCTGTGGGTTCACTCCCCGGGGCTGCTGCTGTGTTATCTTTGCTGTGTTTTGCTCATAAGCAGTTGGATCCAGGGCCTGGTGTGCTAGGCTTAGATCAAATAATTTTGATGAGAATAGTAGGGATTTTTTGTTTTAAGATTTATAATTTTATATTGTGTTTTGCCTGCATTCATGTCTGTACCACATGTGTGCCTGGTTCCTGCAGAGGCCAGAAGAGGGTGTTGGATCCCCTGGAACTGGAATTAAAAGATGGTTGTGAGCTGCCATGTAGGTGCTGGCAACTGAGCCTGGGTCCTCTAAAAGAGCAACAAGTACTCTTAAGTGCTGAACCATCTCTCTAGCCTTTGGTGAGAACAGTTTTAAATGGGGACCATTTGGCAGAGTCCTGTGGTCCAGACCCGCCACCTGCTTTTTTTTTTGGGGGGGGGGGGGGGGATGTGATGCAGGTGTGCTCTGGATGCATTGTCTTTGGGAGACCAGTTCCTTATACCATGCTCTGTGTATAAAAGCCTGAAACTGTGTCGGATTAAATAACCTTCATTGCTGTTTCTGTTACATCTTGATGGAATCCAGATCCTCACACATACACACTGCTGATAAACAAACCCTGTGCTGCCCAAGGTTCAAGCTGAGAACAAACAAAAACACCAGGAACTTCACCGCCCAGACCTTCTTTCAGTCCCCAGAGCTCTTCATTGTGTGCCATCAGGACAAGGCACCTGTGTCCACAGCCCTTCTTAGGTGCTTCCCATCAGGGTCTTCTTGGCCTGAAGGAGAAAGCATTTATTTCCAAGTTAGATATGGCTTAAAAGCAAGATCTCTACCACATCAAATGCCACATTCTTCCAAACACCTTAAAGAACTGAGGTGCTGCTGTGAATGTGGGGGTACCTGACTGAGCTCACCTAAAAGATGAAGCCTGCACCCTGTGATTGAGTGGAGGATCTATAGGTGCTGTGCAGGGATGAATGAGGAATCACAGTGGGATTCCTTCATCTGGCCCGGGAAAAGGAGAAGGAGATGGACTCAACAGCCTGCCAGCCACACATTTCTGGTCAACCACAGGAAAGATAACAGAGAAAGCTGAAGCCTGTGAACATTAGGAGTGGGTCTAGGGTTTCAGGAAGAGCTCCTGGCCACCAACCACAAAAGAATGAAGGCTTGTCTTGTTGCCTTGGTTGGAAAGCCACCAAAAGGCAGGGATCAAGTCAGACGGAACAAGAAAAGTGCAACACCTGATGGCTGAACAGTCTCTGACGGGAAACTAGTCGTGGGCTGCTAGGTAAGGCTAGGCTGTAGTAAACTCAAGGAAAGTTTAGATCTCCCAAACACTACTCTTTCTGCCTAAGGCTATTCTGGAATGTCGGCAAACTGCCTCAGATTCACTGTATGGCTCTGGGGATCTTAACAACAACCTTATCTCTAGTCCTATTTCTGCATTAACAGCTCTCAGTAGCACTTTGGTATGACTGACCCCAGACCCATGAGTCAGCAGTACCCCAGGAGGAGGTCAGCATTAGTGACATTCTAGGAACCTATTCTAGAATGAGGGCCCAAGACTTTGGCAGTCAAAGTCCCCATTATCTGGTGGCACCTACCAGTTGTGTTCTGGAACACTCACTGTGGTCTGTTTCACCATTCCTCCAAGGTTTGACCAAGATGCCCACCTCACTACTCCAGGTCTTTAGCCTTGCTAACATTAGCCATCTTCACAAGACTGTAAGTGGGGCAGCAACTAACAGGGGGCTTGCGGTGGAGGGATCATAGGCAGAAGACAAGGACCAAGAACCCAAGCGGTTCTCACCACTTCTGTGCTACACCGAGAACCGGCTACGGACACTCTGCACTTTACTCCTCGGTGAAAGGGGTGCCTAGGAGGACCCTCCCACGACATCACACAGGAACCCCGAGAGAGGGCGAGCGGGGCTGGGGTCGGTCTGGGCAGGCTGCCCTTCGGTCACGGTGCCAATAGTTAACGAGAGGGGTCTCCTGCCCTTTCGCTGATCCTTCCTGGAGCTGACTGGCAGAAAAAGGGATGTCTGGTCTCTCCCTAAAGCATCGGAAAAGAAAAGCCAAACTAGGCGCGACGCAGGGGGGACGCGCCCACCTACCGCGGCGGCGAAGCAGCTCCTCAGGGCCTCGAACTCGCGCACGCAAAGGTCCTTCCTCAGGCGGCCTCCGGGGGCTGTAGAGGCCTGCACGCACCTGCCGTACGCCGAAGCCTGAGGGAAGACCTGACGGTAGTGTGGCCTGACCAGAGCCGCCACCCTCCCTCCCTTTCCGGTTAACCTGCAGGTCCAGCTCTGCCCGCCCCTTACCTCAGCCCCGCAGGCCGCCAGATGCTCCGGGAAGGCTCGGAGACGGCTCCGCACGCGCCCCCATAAGGCTCCGTTGGCGGACATGAGCGGTTCCTCCAGGCCCCCGTGGACGCCGCCATATTGGGTCCCGCCTCTTCCGGCGTCGAATAAGTGAACATCCGGCACCTCCGCCCATACTGTTTTCTGGTTGGTCAGAGTCGCGGGCCTGTTCTTCTGTAATTGGTACTAGTCCTTGTCCATCTCTAACTGGGACTTTGAACTGGCTGAGCCTCGGATGTTTTCGGATCTCTGTGCCCCCTTCCTGCGACCGATTGGCTGGGGGAGCCAGAGCAGCGCGATGATTGGAGGGTCGAAGCCTGGCGGAAGCGGGGCCAGCTGCAGGGGGGCGGTTCCTTGGACCATGGCGGCCGCGCCGCCGCTGCGGGACCGCTTGAGCTTCCTACATAGGGTGAGTGGAGTTCGCAGGGTCTGCTGACACCCGGCGCCCGGGGATCTCGCTAGATTAGCGGGGACAGGCTGCCCAGCCACTGCTGAGAACGAGAGAGCCTGATCTGCTAGTAGGAGGACGAGCCCAAGGGCGGCGGGCGGTCTCCGGCGGGGCCCGAGCCCGGCTTCCCCGGCTTCATTTCAGAGAAACATCCTGGAAACTCATGCTTCGTAAGGGGACAGGAGGCATCTGGAAGGCCGTAGCTACCGGGTGGGGAAGGCGGAGCCTGTTGCCAGCTGTTGAGTGAAACAAACTGACTGCCCTAAGCTGTCTGACTGGAGCTTGAGGGTCTTGAGTGACCCTAGGGACCTTTCTTAGGCCTTTAAGAAGCCATGCTACCGGAGGTCAGGTCTCTTATGTAGAGGCTGGGACAAGTTCTTAATGCTGATCGCTTCCTCCAGATCCCCTTAAAAGCACTGTGGACAAATAGTATAGTGAGGCTGTGTGGAACCCTGGCAGTGTCTGTACACTTGTCTTAAAATTCCTAAACCACACCCTTTGCCCAGATACTGAGTGATGAGAAATAGGTGTTTCCAGATTTCAACCAGATAAACACTTGCAGTAACAGGCAAGCCAGTAGCATAAGCAAACACGACCATGCTGATGCATGACTATGTAAAATTTAAGTTAGCCGTTCTTGAGGAGCTGCAAAACCCATCAAGCCGAGCAGTTCTGACTCGTTGGGTCTGGCACCGCACCGTCCAATACATGGAAAGCCCTGAGGTTCTTGCTGTTGCTGCTTGATAAGTAGGTATATTTAAAATATCCTTACACTTGTGAGTGTCGAGGCTGGGGCTGAGCCTCATCTTGACCTTCTTAGAGAGCTCTCATTGATTGTCCTCTCTCCTGGGGCCATTCATCCCTGCCAGAGCAGAGCCTGCTTAAAGCTGTGCTTTGTAACCACTGGGATGATTCTGGTCCCTCTTAGGCATTCTCCTGGGCATTTTTAGCACCAGTGAGCATAAGGCTTGCTTCCATTTTGGTTGGTGGCTGGGACCTACCAAGATGGTAGCTCATCATGGTCCTCATTCCTCTTCAGCTCCCCATTCTCTTGAAGGGGACCTCAGATGATGACATCCCGTGTCCAGGCTACCTGTTTGAAGAGATTGCCAGTATCCTTCTGCACTGTTCCCATTGGTGGGGGGAAGAGTAAAGAGTGGGCATCCTGACTTAGCAGGAAGTGTTATTGGGCTGAGGGTAGGTTCTTATGCTATCCCAGGAGCACCACCAACGTCTTTTTCCTAGTATCCAGATGTATGTATCAGGGGTGTACTAAAAGCTGCAATACCAATGGTGTAGAGTCCAGGACACCCTGAAAGTTCCAGTGTTGATGAAACCAAAGCCTGTGGTAATGGTCCTCAGGGCGTGTGACCTGAGAAGGGTCATGGTCATAGGAGGGTGAGTTTGTGTCTGCCTGCTCCTTCCCTAACTCAAATGACTCTCAGAAATTTCCCACGAGTCACTGGGCAGCAGCCAGTGCCTGCTGGAGTACCTCCTGAACCGCCTGGACAGTAGCTCTGGCCACGTCAAGCTGAAGGTGAGTCCCTGAGTGGTAGGTAGCAGACCAGGTCTCAGCTCCTGCCCAGCTGAGGACAGGCACTTAGCTGTACTGAGTGTCCTGTACCATAGCAGCCAGCCCCACAAACCTGTCCACTCTCCAGGTGCTGAAGATCTTGCTTTACCTATGTGGTCATGGCTCTTCCTCCTTCCTGCTCATCCTCAGACGAAACTCTGCTCTCATCCAGGAAGCCACAGGTATGGAAAGACACAGGTGTGCCCAGGGAAAGCAGGGGTGGGGGAGACTAAACCCTCAAGTGCTATGCTTGGGGCTTGGGGTCCTGACTGGTCTAGACTTATAAATGGAAAAGTGTCTGTGTTGGAGGTCCCCACTAAGTATTATCTGGGGACTGGCTCTTAGCCCTGGAAGGATGAGGCAGAACGGGCATGTACAGGGTCCTGTGGTATTCCCCAGTATGTGCAAGGCCCTGAGCCAGGGAAAGCTTGTGGCTTAATGTGATATAAGAAAACCTGATTTTCCATGATGGAAGCTTTTTAGCAGAGGGAATTTATCTCAGGCCGATCCAGCCTAGGAATCAGGGGCTATTTCATACCTGGAAGGCCCTGATAGAGCCAGGCCCTGAGAAACCTCTAAAAGGTTCCTGTTGCAGGCAGGTAGAAGAGAATGGACCCAAAGAAGCGGTTAGGTAGGCATAGCTCCGGTGTGTGGGGGAGGTGGAGTGGTCTCCGGCAGACACATTGGCTGTTGTGATGGTAGATGGTGGAGTTGCTACTGTGAGTGGTCAAGAGAGGATGTTAAAGGTCCTGAGGAGGGGCTGGGGACTTACTATCTGGGAGGGCTGGTTTACTGTGGGTTGGGAGCACTGCCCAGGCTCAGCCTGTCCCGTCTGACTTCTGCCCTGCAGCTTTTGCAGGCCCCCCTGACCCTCTTCATGGAAACAGCTTGTACCAGAAGGTGCGGGCAGCTGCCCAGGTGAGCCCAGGACAGGGTCAAAGCACAGAGTGGCTCTGTGAGCTGCTTGCTGTTTCCCTGCACACAGGACCCAGCTCTCTCCTCCTTGCTGGGCCACAGCCCCTGTGCCAGGTTGGGCAGCTCAAGAGAGGTGTCTGAAACAGCAGGGCTGGTGGGGTGGGCAGAGCGGCAGGCTCGGGTGGGACTCTGAGCACCCACTTCTTCATTTAGGACCTGGGTAGCACCTTGTTCTCAGATGCTGTGCCACTGCCTCCCTCCCAGCCACCCCAGGCCCTGCCTCCAGCAGGTATGCCACTCTGGTGACCAGCTCCGGCCACCAGCAGGGGATGTCCCTCTTGGTGTCCTAGACATCTTTGTACATGGGGGCTGGTCTGGGGGGAGGCCTGCACTGATGCCAGTGTCCTCTTTCAGGCATGGGTGCCCAGGCCAGACCTCACAGTGCTCTCCAGGGCTTCGGCTACACTAAGGAGTGCGGCCGGACAGGTAAGGGACAGGGCTCTTGGGTAGGGATACCAAAGGATCAGAGTCAGGCCTCACTGGCATCTCATTAGCTATCCCCCAACTCTACCACAGGTGGACTTACTCTTTCCTGGTGTGCTCCTCTGTGGTGTTTCCTCCACCTAGCTGGGAGGAAGGTATGACAGGCCAGCTCTACTTGATGGACAGGGAGGAGTAGCTAGACTTAAGTCCAGCTGGCTGTGTTGGCCGTTTTTGCTGCTTGAGGGGCAAGGGTCCAGGCTGTGACAGGAACCCAGAGGGTCACCATGCAGGTTGTAACAATGTCGTGTATGTGGGTACCTGTGCCAGCAGACACTTGAGGTTTGTTTGTTGAAGTTCTATACAGCAGCAAGTAACCTCAGCTATGCTTGGGGCCAGATGCTAGGCTGTATCCAGCTGTGTGTTGTAGCTGCTACAGATGGGCCTTTTTGCATCTCTGGGGCCTCTGACTGATGCTTTAACCTCTAAGTCCCTTCTTCAAAGGCAAGGATGGGCCCCTGACATTTGAGTGAAGGGCCAAGGACATTTTCACTTCTCATACCCTCCCCCCTCAGAACACCCCTTGATCTCAGCTGTAAGCCAAGTGTCCAGACTACAATGCCCGGGATTTGTGGCAGCAACTCTGTTCCCTGCAGCATGTGTCTTTACCTCCCTAGGTCTGAGCAAGCAGTAGCTCTGGCCCCCTCCTGGAGAATGGCTGGAGATCGGGGAGGTGGGCCAGGATGCTGGCACTGCCTCTTCTGCTGATGCCACCTCTTCTGTGCACAGGCTCTGCAGGTGAAACCTTCCTCTCTACAATCCAGAGGGCCGCAGAGGTAGTGGCTAATGTTGTGCGTCCTGGGCCTGAGAACCCCAGTACCCAGGGACCCCTGCCACGTGGTGATACCTATCAGCCTGCAGTGACACCTTTAGCTAGCCACACGCACCCCAACCCTGGGACTCTAATCCTTGGGGCCAGAGGTATGGAGGCAAGGGTTGCCACCCTTGCAGATCTGGGTCATTCCTTCGTGTCAAGTGTTGGGGTGGGGAATGGGCACTTGATGGATGTGGTGATAAATGTTGACGCTGCCTTCACTGGCAGGAGCCCCAGGCTTCTGACCCGGCAGGAAGCACTCACCCATTTTGTGTGCCTAGAGTTTCTAGAGCTGCCCTGTAAGCTCAGAACACAACCCCTTGTCTCCTAGCCCAGAGTCCCTCAGGAGATGGCATGGGGCCCATGAAAAGCCCTGGGACTTTGCCTGCCATTCTGTCTTTCAGCTGTAAGACACCAGCCTGGGCAGGCTGGAGGAGGCTGGGATGAGCTGGACAGTGGTCCGAGTTCCCAGAATTCCTCCTGCACCAGCAACCCGAGCAGGGCCTCGGACTCAGGCAGTCGGTCAGGCAGTGACAGCCACTCTGGGGCCAGCCGTGAGCCAGGTGACCTGACAGAAAGGTATGTGGAATAGGTGGCCACCTGTCTGAGTTAGGGTTTCTATTGCTGTGAAGAGACACCATGACCATGGCACATCTTACAAAGGAAAACGTTTAAGTGGGGTGGCTTGCTTACAGTTCAGAGTTTCAGTCTATTGTAATCGTGGTAGGACATGACAGTGTGCAGGCAGACATGGTGCTGGGGAAGTAGCTGAGAGTCTTACATCTTTCAGGCAACAGGAAGTGGTCTGAAACACTGGGCATTATCTTGAGCATATATGAGAATTCAAAGCTACACACTTCCTCCAACAAGACCACACCTACTCCACCAAGGCCACACATCCTAATAATCCCCTTCCTTTGGGGGCCATTTTCTTTCAAACCACCATACCACCTCTCCCAAAGGGGCTGTCACAGGCTGCCTGACCTCTAGGTCTTACCTTCTTCCAGTGTGGGAGCTTAGGGGGTGTTGTCCACCTGTCTACCTGAGGGTTTTTTTGTTTGTTTGTTTTGTTTTTTTTTTTAAATCTTTAAGATTTATTTATTATGTATACTGTGTTCTGCCTGCATGCCAGAAGAGGGCACCAGATCTCATTACAAGTGGTTGTGAGCCACCATGTGGTTGCTGGGAATTGAACTCAGGACCTCTGAAAGAACAGCCAGTGCTCTTAACCGCTGAGCCATCTCTCCAGCCCCTACCTGAGATTTGATATCCTGACTTATCCTTTTACTTTCTCCAGGACTGAGGCCATGGCCCCAAATGACTGTCAGCAAGAGCTGAGCCTAGTGAGAACCGTGACACAGGGGCCACGTGTCTTCCTGAGCCGTGAGGAGACCCAGCACTTCATCAAAGAGTGAGCTGCCCACCTGCACCTGCCCCCTAGGGAGGAGGGAGCTGGCTGTGGCTGCCCCCAATCCCTCCTGTATGTCCCCCCTGTGCAGGTGTGGGCTGCTCAACTGTGAGGCTGTGCTGGAGCTGCTCCTCCGCCAGCTGGTCGGGACCAGTGAGTGCGAGCAGATGGTAAGGATGAGAGTGAGGGGCAGGTGCTGTGTGGGTAAAGCACAGGCAGCAGGACATCACGGAGGGTGGAGGGTAGGGTGGGGGCCCACGCAGGCCTCCCTAAGTGAGGAGCCATGAGAGCTGACTTCCATCCTCCCCTGCTTCCCGCTCACAGAGGGCACTGTGTGCCATTGCCTCCTTTGGGGGTGCTGACCTCCTGCCTCAGGAGCATGTCCTTCTCCTCTGCCGGCAACAGCTGCAGGAACTTGGTGCAGGCAACCCCGGACCTGTGACCAACAAAGCTACCAAGGTGGGCAGTGGGCCCTGGGAACGGCAGAGTCTGTCTTGGCCCCTAGCTGGCCATGATCAGCCCTTGATGGGCACACTCCTACAGCCCTGCTTAGTGGGTGGTGCCCACCTCCCTTGGGCTCTGGCACTGTGGGTACTTCGGCTTCTTCCCCTTCCTGGACCCCCACCCACCCATACTGCTGCTGTGTCAGACCCACTATCTTGTGTCCTACACAACACTCCACCTTCTCCAGAAAGTCTCCCTGGCCTGCAGCTCTCCTCTCTGTCACAGTTCCAGGGTCTCCTCATGCCCTTCCTACCTACTTGGTTGCATGCCCAGCTGTTGCTGTTTGTTTGTGCTGAGACAGGGTTTCTCTGTGTAGCCCTGGCTGTCCTGGAACTCTCTTTGTAGACCAGACTGGTCTCGAACTCACGGAGATGCCCATGCCCCTGCCTCTGTCTTCTGAGTGCTGGGATTAAAAGCATGCGCCACATACCTGGGGTCTTGTTTTCTCTGTGGTTGTTAAACTTGCAGTGTCTCGGCCACTCAGTCCAGGTTGGCTATGCTGTTAGCACCTGTTAACTCCCTTTTGGTCACAGCACCTGGTAAACTTGGGGTGACATCACAGGAACACATGTCCAGAGTGACTAGATACATCAGGTCTCCTTGGTACCTTCAGTTCCTTGATGCCTGGAAGGTTCTGAGGCTGGGACTGCTCATACATCTGTTAAGTAGGACTTGTTTCATGTGTCCAACCATTCCAACAGCAGATTACCGGGTACCTTGTCCCCAGCACTAAGCAGGCACACCCTCCTTCCTGTTTTCCTCTAGATCCTGAGACACTTTGAAGCCTCCTGTGGACAGCAGTTCCCTGCCCGAAGGCCCTGTGCCCAGCACAGCTCTGCAGCTGCCCTTGTGGGCCCAGCTGATCTGCTGACCAGCCCTGTGCCTCCCCCTGGGAGCCAGGTCTTCCTCCAGCCTCTTAGCTCCACCACCATCGTGCCCAGGAATCCTGTGCCCGCTCCATCCCCAGATACCCTTCTTCCTGCTCTAGAGGATGCCAGTGAGGTCAAAACCCAATTGGTATGTTCTAGTGAACAGGGGGCAGGATTTGACCAGAGCCCGGAGAACACAGACACCCCAGAGGGTAGCTCCAGTACGTGCCTGTGGAGCCCCAACTCTTTGTTTGAGGGAATGGAGCTGGTGGCTTGCCCCCGCCTGCCCTGCCCCAGCTCCCAGGATCTCCAGCCAGGTGTACAGAAGGTAACCACAGAACATTCCATCTCAGAGCCATCAGCTTTCGCATTTTTGAACATGTGACTCTCTGGGCCCAGCTGCTCAAAGTCCCTCGGTCCTCATATTGAGGCCCCTAAGACCTCATGGCCTCATGTCCACCAAGGAGTGGTCCTTGAGTGTTTTCTGGGTATCCTCTTGCCCCCTCTGGCCCCTCTCTTTTACCTAGAAAGCTGTGGTAAGGCAGTCCCTGTGTGGGCCTCCCAGTGGTCAGAAGAGTCGTTGAAGACATACAGGCCTCAGTGCTGACCAGCCAAGATAGAAGTGTGGAAAAGAGGGTCAGTTGGTCCCTCAAAAGATGTTTGCACACTCATCGCTTCTTGGGAAGTTGACTCTCTGGCCATGCCCCTGAGATTGGCTTCCGTCTTCTTCCCGGCAAGACACACACAAACGTTTTTGAAGGTCTGTCCATGGCTGGAGACCACCTCAGGTTTCTTGCTTCATGTAGTACATCTACAGGGCAGTGCTTTCCCAGGGCCGTTGGCCACAGCCCCTCTGCCCCATGCTGCTCTGATTCTAGGAGGCTGAACACAGAGGCCAAACCCTCACCCCGACCCCCAGGCTACCTCGGTCCCCGTCTGGACCCGTCCCTTTGCTAGGTGCTGGCGATGGTTATATGGACTTGAGTGCCTATGGTAGCAACTGGCAGGTAGCGGGGCTGCAGTACTGACCTTGGGTACCCTGGGCAAGCCCTGCCTGCCTGACCCTCAGAAGTCAGCACTTGTAATGGTTGGAAACATTGACTTGGTTCTTAGTTAAGGTTCTGATCTTGGGTCTTTCTGAAGGGAGGTCACAGCACCTGGGAGCCACAGCCTTCAGGGTCACAGCACTCTGGGGTTGTGCCTGTGCCTGTGGCCCAAAAGGTCTGATTCTCAGCTTCCTTAGCCAAGTGTGGCCATTTCCAGTGTCAGGTCCCTGTAGGACCCTGCTCTGGATGCTCAGCTTGTCACAGTTTTCTGCAGACCATGGGAGAGTCTAGTGAACTTTCCTGTCCATCTCAGAAGAGCCTGTGGAGCTGGGACATGCACTTTCCCAATAAACATTGATGTTTACACAGCCCACGCTGCTGTGGCTGGTTTTTATTAATAAGGGATACACTTCAAGGACTTCTTTTCCTAGGTAGAACAGATGTTTTCTCCTTAAGTGTTTGGTGGAACTTCTCACTGGTATTGTTTTGTCCTCACCCTCAAGGGGCTAGAAGGATATTTTGGGTTTTTTGTTGTTGTTGTTGTTTTGTTTTGTTTTTTGGTTTTTCGAGACAGGGTTTCTCCGTGTAGCTTTGCGCCTTTCCTGGAACTTACTTGGTAGCCCAGGCTGGCCTCGAACTCACAGAGATCCGCCTGCCTCTGCCTCCCGAGTGCTGGGATTAAAGGTGTGCGCCACCACCGCCCGGCTAGAAGGATATTTTGAACGGAAGTTGTGATTACACCATTCCAGGATACGCAGTGAACAAGGCTGGAGAGGGAGCATTTTCAAAGAGGTGTTGTCCTAAACCCCACCAGAGTCTCAGGGTGTTCAGTTGTGTCAAAAGCAAGGCCTTGTGTGTATTAGGCAAGTGCTGTACCACTGAGCTGTAGTGATTTTTTCTGTAGTAATGAACTGACACCAAAGTTAACAGGAAATAGTTGATGTGCATTGGTGTTTTGCTTGCAGGTATGTCCGTGTGAGGGAGTCAGATCCCCTGGAAATGGAGTTACGGACAGGTGTGAGCTGCTATGTGGGTGCTGGGGATTGAATCCAGGTCCTCTGGAAGAGCAGCCAATGCTCTTAACCTCTAAGCCATCTCTCCAGCCTCAGTGTGTTACTCACAGCTCCTACAGTGTGGCTTTTTCTGCGAGTCTTTCTGTTAACCCTGGGTACAGAAACATTTTCACATAGGTTCAGCTGGTGAATCGGAGTTCCATTGGGGCTACAGGAGCAGGGGAAGGCTCATGACTACTGTACCACTGGGATGTCCTTTTTCCTAGTAACTATTGATGACATGTGGGGCGGGGGTGGGGTGGGGAGGTACTTGCTATCCCAACCCTCCTGTGAGGGAATGGTAACAGACTTGTTATGATGAGGGGCTCCTGTGGCTGATTTGTTTACCATGGCTATGCTTGCCAAGACTGCTGTTGGGGAAGTCTTAAACAAAAAAGATGATAGATCTACACAAACAAGGTCAACAACAGCGTCCACATCCTGGAGGTAGAACCTGGGGTGTTCCGGTGGTTTCTGCATCTGTAGTAGTAGTTCAATGAGCAGGTGGTACCCTCCAGTGATGGTGCTGGAGCTCTCAGTGTTTAAAAGACCTAAGACATCTTGGCCCATACCTCAGACTTTACACATAAATTTAAAGTGAACCATAGCCTAAGTGTCAAACGTGCTAGGTGTGGTGGTGTGCCCCTTTAATTCCAGCTCCCAGGAGGCAGGGAGACGGCTCTCTGAATTTGAAGCCAGCCTGCTCTACATAGGGATTTCTAGGCTGGCCAGGGCTACACTGTAAGACCCTGTGGAGGGAAAAAAAGATCTTTATCAACAGGAAAAAGGCTTTGAATGCACAGTTAAGAGAAGGAAAGATGAGCCAAAGACTGAGAGAGACTATTTTTAGGACACATGTTTCATGCAGACTAATGTGAAAACCTTGTCAAGAACACACAAAGACCAGTGAGATGGCTAGGCTGGTAAAGGCACTTGCCACACACACACCCTGACAAACGGAGTTCAATCCTTGGGACCTACATGGTGGACGAACAAAACTGATACCTGAAGGTTATCCTTTGACCTCTTTTTTTTTTTTTTTTTTTTTTTTTGAAATTTAGATTCTTTTTAAAGATTTATTTATTTATTATGTATACAGTGTTCTGTCTGCACATATCCCTGCAGACCAGAAAAGGGCACCAGATCTCATTATAGATGGTTGTGAGCCACCATGTGGTTGCTGGGAATTGAACTCAGGACCTCTGGAAGAATAGCCAGTGCTCCTAACCGCTGAGCCATCTCTCCAGCCTTCCTTTGACCTCTTATGATGGCTATTCTTGGTTGTCAACTTGACTATATCTGGAATGAGCCACAATCCAGAATAGTGGGGGGCACAGCCATGAGAGGTTTCCTGCTTGGTTGAAGTGGGTGAATCCACTTCTAGTCCAGACCTTTGAGATAGGAAGACACACACCTTTGATCCTGATCTTTAGGTGGAAAGACACAGGCCTTTATCTGGGCTATACCTTCTGCTGGAAGTCTGCATGAGGGTATAGAAGAAGGAAGCTTTAGCTCTTTGCCTGCTAACCTTGCTAGCACATCCATTCCTTCACTGTCGTTGGAGCCTATTTCAGGATTCCAGCATGTACAGAAGACCAGCTGAGACACCCAGCAACTACTAGATTCTTGGACTTTGTATTCACATCCAGCCATTGTTGGGTTAGCTGGACTGTAGCCTGTAATTTATTCCAATACATCACACATACACACACATATGAGAGAGAGAGAACGAAAGAAAATTCATTCTGTAAGCTCTGTGACTTCAGAGGACCCGGGCTAATACACCTCATGTATGCCATGGCATGAGTGTGCTCTCACATGTATATACACAGAAATTTAAAACTCAAAACTAGCAAACCACCCAAATTACAAAGTGTCTGAAAGATCTGGACAGACGTGAAGGAACCTGGTGAATGCATGGCAGATAAGCACACACAGATCTTCACCTGAGTAGGCAACAAAGCCTGTGACTTACAACCACTCGCCTATTACGGTGACTAAACAAGACTCTAGCCACTTCAAGAGCTGAGGGGACACACACCAAGTAGAGCTTACACGACACTGGCCATGCCGTGTCTGGAAAACGTCTTGGCGGTTTCTTAAACCGCACTGGTTTCTGTCATAGGAATTCACAATAGACAAGTGAAAAGCTATGTTCACACAAAAGTCAGTGTCTACATCTGCTTCCATATTTACTCAAATATGCAACAAGCCCTGGGTCATTCTAGAGATAAGCACGGTAACATGTCACCACCGGCTGGAATACTGGGGAGAGAGACAAGATGAATCCAGGACCTTTCCGGTGGGGCGACAGGAAGACACTATGTGCCTTACGTCCCTGACATTCTTCAAGAGATAAAACAAAAGGTCCTAGCCAGCCCATGCCCAAAGCAGGTCAGTAGATGAAGAGCTAGACAAAGGCTTCACAGGTGTGTGTGTGGAGAGCGACCATGTCTGAGTGGATGGTTACTGCACACAAAGGGTGGGAATTTTAATAAGTATAAATCAAAGCTTCCCGTTAATTTTTTAAAAGAAGCCATCAGTGTTTAAAAGCATGTACTGTTCTTGCACAGGACCCAGGTTTTGGTTCCCAGTACCTGTATGGCATTTCACCACTATCCATTAACTCAGTTCCAGGATCCAGCACCCTCAATGTGGTGCAGAGACAAACACATACGCATAATAAATTTTAATAGGGGGAGAAGGAGGAAGAAAGAAAAGGCTAAGGTGTGGTGGCACTTTGCCTGTAATTCCAGACTCAGGAGATGTTCAATCTATTCTCAGCTACATAGTGAGTTTGAGGCCACGCTGGGCTACATGAGATCCTTTTTGTTTGTTTTCGAGACAGGATTTCTCTGTGTAGCCCTGGTTGTCCTGGAACTCACTTTGTGGACCAGGTTGGCCTCTGCCTCTGAATTAAAGGCGTGCACCAGCACTGCCTGAGACCCTTTCTTAAAACAAAAATGGCTGAGGTTGAGTGGCAGAGCCCTTCTTTTGTGTGTGCAAGCCCCTGGACCACCGTCCCAAACACACACACACACACACACACACACACACACACACACACACACACACCCCACACATATGCGCGTGCGCATAAATTAGTAAACGCATGCGGATAATTTTTTAAAGCATTTGAGTTTATAAAGTTGTTATTTAACTAACTTCTGTTGGAGTGGGCAGTTGACCTTCGGTGTCCCGAGCCCTTTGGGCGAAAGGAGGAGAGAGCCCACCACTGGGTGGCAGTGAGTGGAGCCACCAGGAGACTCGGCAAGCTTTTTTGAGAGCAGGTAGGAAAGAATGGGAAGAGGTGCACAGACACCACCTCGTGGTCCGGTCAGGCCTGGGAGAGGACCCAGGGTGAGCCGGGAAGCGTGACCAGAAGCCTGACCTCAGGAGGTACGGGGGCCCGCAGGCCCCGCCCCCTGAGGCCCCGCCCCCCGCCCGCCTCCACTCCGCCTCAGCTTTCGGCTGCTCCTCCCACGCCGGAAATTGCAGGACAGCCCAGCGGCCCAATGAGCTGCCCGACGATCGGAGGGCGTCCGGAGAGCCAATCCCTGAGCGGCGCGCGTTGTAAAGGCGGGCCAGCGTGACGGACAGCGGGGGAGGCGCCAGGTTGGTTGCTAGCCGCCGCCACTCGCCCCTGCGGACGGCTCTTTATTGTCACCCACGGCCGAGGCCAGCCCCGTGGGGCCCCGGGTGGCTCTGCAGTCGTGCCCGCCAGGCCGAGCCCACGGGCCCTGCGCCCCAGGCCGGGCCCGCGCAGGTGAGGGCATCGCGCGGTGAGGGATCGGGCCCTGCAGCGAGGATGGCCTGTGCCCAGTACCCCTCGCCCTGGGAGATCGCCGTGGGGTCCATTCGGGCGGCCCGGAACCCCTGCCTTAAGCCCCGAGGGCCCTGGGAGATGCGGGTCGCCCGCGGAGGAACGCAGCACTGCACTGCCCAAGGGCCCTGCCTCTCCGGGTCAGCTGGCCCCCGAGGGCCTGGGAGCAGGCTCCTGCCCCTCCCGATCCTGTGCGAGCTTGCGGCACGGTTTTGACCGGGGTGAGATTGGCCTCCCCAGCTGGCTTGGAGGTTTCCATGGAGAGGCTATGTTTACCGCCCAGAACCTCACTGGCTGCACGTGGGGCTAGGAAAGGCATGTCCACCAGCTCAGGAGCCAGCCAGAGTCCACCCGGGTGTGGCCAGTGCCAAGTAGGGGAAGGTGTTAGGTTTCACCCACACAACCAGAAATATGTAACTGAGGACACTGGCCAGACTGATGGCAGAGCAGCCTCAGAGTAGGGACACTGCCCCCCACCACACACACCTGGATGTCAGGACCAAGGCAGCATCACTTTGGACTATGGTGAGTGTATGCTCTTGGCTCCTTGGACTCTGCAAGGGGATTGTAATCACTTAGCATTTGCCCCATGTCCCTATCTCTCACCTAAGTCCTCACCACTTCAGTGCCTTCCACATGCCAGGCGCTGAGACTGCATGGTCCCTGTCCTCTCAAGGGTGTCCTAGAGAGCAAAGCAATTGGATAGAAGGAAAACTGATGGATAGTTTGGAGGCAAGGGGATTGCAGATGCAGAGGTGTGTTGGGATGCGCTACCTGGGTTTGGGGAACAGGAAGGCAAGTTTGGTTAATGCAGAGGACAGGGCCAGAGCTGGACATGTCAGGTGTTCAGATTTATTCTGTCTTAAGCTGTTTCCCCTAGGGTGTGAAGTGAGCTGAGAACGGTTCAGAAGGGATTCAGTGAGTGATGTGAGGTCGAGCCCTGGCCAGATGGGGCTGCTATACTTGTTCAAGGCAAGGACCCAGTGGTTGGGCCAGAGATGTAGTGTGGAAGAGACCAGAGACCACAGAACGCCCATGAACTCTGTTCTCTGGTGATGCAGGAACTTTTATGGTTTCACATCCTGCTACAGTCCGTCAAAGCTATTGAGGGATCTCCGAGGTCCAACCTCAGAGTCACATTTGAACCTCAGGCTAGCCCAGAAAGATGTACTTTTTTAAATGCAGAGAATGTCCTGAACAGGTAGAGTCCTTTAATCAAGGACTAGGGTAAGTGGCAGGGCCAGACTCACGCCCACCACTGCTTGCTGCTACCACCCTCTGGGAGTGCTGGCCTGTGCCCACAAGGCCATGCCTCAGCTGCTCACTTCTCACCATTCAGAGCCCTGTTAGTGTTTAGAGCAGTCTTATCTTATGCTCCTGACTGAGCTACCATCCCTAATGGGAGCTTCCAGAGTTAGATGGCAGGTAGACTGAGATGTCCAGGGCTGGTTGAGGTGGTGAGTGCAAGGGCTGAGATTCCTCCACGTGTCTTGTCTTTTCTTTTTTGTCTCTAAAAGAAAATTTTAAGCTGGGCGGTGGTCGAGAACTCCTTTAATCCTAGCGCTTGGGAGGCAGAGGCAGGTAGATCTTTAAAAAAAAAAAAATCTATTTATGCCAAGAGGTGGTGTCGCACACCTTTGATCCCAGCATTTGGGAGGCAGAGGCAAGTGGATCTTTGTGAGTTTGTAGCCAGCCTGATCTACAGAATGAGCTCTAGGACAGCCAAGGTTACACAAGGAAACCCTGTCTTGGAAAAAAAATATATTTATTTTAATTTGTGTGTGGGTGTCAGATCCCCTGGTGCTGGAGTTACAGGCAATTGTGAACCACTGATGTGAATACTGGGAATCAAGTTCTGTCCCTCTAGAAGAGCAGCAAGTTCTCTTAAGTACCGGATTACCTCTCTAAGCTCCATCCTCTATCGTTTTTTAGACAAGGCCTCATGTAGCCCAGGCTGGCTTTGAATTGAACTCACTATATATCTGAGAATAGTCTTGAATTTCTGGTCCTCCTGCCTCTGCCTTCTGAGCACCAGGATTCCATGCATACACCACCATACCTGGCTCTGTGCCACGCTGGAGATTAAGTGGAGACTAAGCCACATCCCTGGCCCCTACCATGGTGTCTGACTGTGTCCCTCATTTCTGTCTCAGAGCTAGCCTGGTCTACCATGAAAGGTTCACGGACCATCAGTGCTACTCCTGAAGGCAGTCCAGAAGGTATGGACTTGAGTCTGGTTGGCCTCCCTCCACCCATGTCCCAGCGCCCCAGCAGTGCATCTGCCACCAAGTCCATTGTCCGATCCGTGTCTGTGGCCACGGGCAGTGAGCCGAGAAAAAAGGCATTGGTGAGTGTGGGCGCCAGGGCCCTTTGGAGTGGCGTCTGGTCTCTGGGTATAGTTCCTCCCAAGAACATCTATCTCATATCCATGGTTATCCCCTGGGCGGGGAGAGCTGGACCTCACAAGCCTGTCGAGCTGCCCTGGGGTGGACCTGCATCCTTCTAGCTCAGACCCTGCCCCTCTTGCTCCATGGCCTTTAGGTTCCTTTAGGTTCTCCGAGTGGGTGGACCAGTGGGAGGGTGACGTGCTACTGTGGCCTTGTAGAAACTGGGTGGGTGGCAGATGGGCAGGAGTTGGGGCTTTGGGGAGAGCCGCTTTTCCTTCCCCAGCCTGCTTCTGTGGGGCATGGGTTGGGGGTGTCACTCAGAAATCCATGAGGTGACCATGAGAGGCCAAGCTGGACTCTTTACCACCCAAAGCCGCTGTCTGCTAGGCACTCTCGCCAGGCCAAGAGAGGAATCGAGTGCTTTGGGGACCAGGGCTGTGCCTGAGTCTGGCCTGAACTTCTAGAACAGAGAGGAACCTGGGCATGACCTGGATGCTACCTCCAGTCTGTGACTCTAACTGAGAAGCAGGTCCTTGCTGGGGTGAAGCTTCCTTTCTGGATAAAAGACTCACCTCTTCCTTCTTTCTGAAACAGCCATCCCTGTCAGATGGGGTAGGCCTACATCGCTCGGGCTGTGTTCTGGGACAGGAATAGCCAGCTGATAAAGAACATTTGATTTGGACACATTCCTGCAGTAGACCAAGGACCTGGGATGTCAAACCCGTCGCTAGGCTGCCTCAGCAGAGCGATGGCTGCTCAGGCCAGCGTGACTCTTGACCCTACTGCTCCGTAGCTACAGCTTTGCTCTTAAGTTCCTGGTCCCTCCACCTTCCTATTGAGATCCCTCCACTGCCCTGAAGCCCCAAGCATAGTGGTGAGCGAGGGCCACATGTGTGCATCCATCAAAGATCTGCTGCTGCATGGAGACAGTGTGGTAAGGTTGAGGACCCATGCTGCACGGCAGGGCTTCCTCTGCAGCCACCTGGACCCATAGCTGCCTCTCCCAGGCCTCCTGCCGAGAGCAGTCCCATCATGCCAGTCTCTCCTTCAGTGACAGCTTGTATGGCTCAGCTATGTGGAGAAAGCTGCCAGGTTCTCTCCCTGTGGGATGGTCCAGCTGTTCATTTCTGTAGGGTGACCCTAGCCCTGGTGTATTTAATGAAAGAACAGCTCACCTGGCCAGGACTCATCTTCCTGGTGTTGGTTCTTCTGACTGCTTTATCTCATAGGGATTCTGAAGAGCATTTTCCCTGGGCAGGCCTTGGAATCCCAAGAGACCACATATGTGACAGTGGAGTGAGCTAGCTTTGTCTCCGGGAGGCTCCTGCTCCTGGGCTGATGACACCTACCCTTTGCACTGATAGCATTAAGGTTTTTAGCCCATGACCTTATTTATCTAATGAACACTTCTTCTCCACCTTGATAACCTTCAGTGAGCACAAGGCCCACCCTCACCTCTTTCTTTAGTGTGAAGAACATAAACCTTCTGTTAGGAAAAGAGGGGAAAGGAAAGCGGCATCCGAAACAACTGGTGCAGTGCTGACACTGTGCAGATGTGTTCGGCAGCTCCGTATTAGTACGAGTAGGTCAGGCCAGGCAGTGGCGCACACCTTTAATCCCAGCACTTGGGAGGCAGAGGCAGGAGGATCTCTGTGAGATTGAGGCCAGCCTGGTCTACAGAGGTGTTCCAGGACAGGCAGGGCTACACAGAGAAACCCTGTCTCAGAAAACCAAGGGGAAAAACTAAAGAGTCGGTCAGATGTGCCGGTGTTTAAAGTGCAGAGGGCAAAGGAAGGGAGAGGTGAGCCTGCCGCTGGGGTGCCGTGGCCACCCCTGGTCTGCAGACGGCCATGCCTGCTTTCCTCTTCATCCTTGCAGTGCGACATTTCCACCCCTGGAGAACACTAGGCTCACTGTTGATGACAGCAGTGGCATGTGGTGAGCAGTTCCTGGTCGGGCCTGGTGCCACTTCCTGTGCCCTCCCGCACTGCAGGGGTGAAGGGCTCCCTACTCTGTGCAGTACACCTAGCTCCCAGAGGCTGGGGCCCTGCCCCACACACCCACCGATGGCTAGGCCTAGAATTGCTTCCCATCCATCCTGTCCTGTGGCCTTGACTGTCCATGTACCACCTTCAGAGCCTTGTTTGGAACCCAGAACACTCCTTTGTTCCCCAATGATTTCTCTCAGGCCTGGCCTGGCTGAGCCACTGGCAAGTGTCTAAGGTCTTCTCTACTAACTAGGTTTTCCTTTCCCTTCTACAGGAGGCCACAGGGCCTGGGGGCTCCCGGGCTATCAACAATCTTCGAAGATCTAACAGCACTACGCAGGTCAACCAGTCATGGACCGGCTCCCCCAGGTAACCTGTTGTGACTCCAGGTCACCTGCAACCCCCAGCTACTCTTCTTCCTTTTCCAGCTCTGTCAGTCATGGTCTTCGCTGGGCAGTGGGATCGGGCGACTCTCACACCATTTGGCTTTATTCTCTTGAGCTAGGAGGGTTCAGGACAGCTAAGAGCATCCATTCTGTCCTGCTCCATCTCTGCTGGACATGAGATCCTGGGCCCTCAGGGTCAGTCGTCCCCCCCCCCCCCCCGCTCCTCCACCTCTTCTCTGTCCTACCTCCTCAGGAGTACTCAGGGAGGTTGCTTGTGGGCCCTTATCTACACATCTTTCAGCTATAGCCTCTCCTGCCCTTTGGATGTCAAAACGCACTGTTAATAGGAGGCATCAGTATTGGGACACTTCTGAGTCTTCCCTTTGACCCCATCTTGGAACCTCAGTGCTGGGGAGGCCAGCAAAAAGCCAGCAGTGGCCAGTGCCACTGAGCTGAGAGGGACAATAAGGCCCTCTTGCATGAATTGTCCCAAGCAGCAGGTGTGAGACTTAATGAGACTCGATCATATACTCATAGGTTCTGAGCCAAACAAGGTGGACCCTCCTCTGGGAACATAGGAGCTGCACTAAGAGCAAATGCAGACATCCTCAGCTCACAGTCCACCAAGCAGCAACCTCAGGGCCCAGGATGTAACAGAGAATAGGCTGCAATGATTTAGAGACAGTGTGCCATACTCTCAGCATGTCCACTTGGCCAAATTGCCGGTGGCTGAAAATGCAGGATCTCCTGGGGGTGTGGGGTGGGCACATGTGACATTGCTGGGCGTGGGGATGTGTACAGGGGGCTGTACATGCACATGTCTGTGGCATACGGATTTGTGGAGTATGCTTCATGTGTGGCATGTGTTATAGAGTATTCAGTTTGTGGTGTGTTTGTGTGGTATGGATGGTATGAGTTATGGGTGTGCAGTGTGAGTAGTGGGCTTGGTGCGTGTAGTGTGCGTGTCTGTGTATACGGTGTGGTTGTGCTCACTAAAGACCTCCAGGAAACCCTCTGCAGACATATCTGAGCTTCTCTGGCTGGTGGAGAGCAGGCCTGCATGTGTTAGCAGTTGAATGTCTGGCTTAGTTTCTTCTCCTGTTGGCTCTGATAAAATACCCCGACAGAGATCATCTAAAGAAGAAAGTGTTTATTTTCTCACAACTCGGGTCCAGTCCGTCACTGCAGTGACGTCAGGGTAGCGGGAACCTGAAGCAGCTGGTCACATCAACTCTGCAGTTGGAGGAGGGTGATGGATACATGCTTCTCAACTCTTTCTCCATATATATAGTCCAAGATCCCAGTCAAGGAACCGTGCTACCCACACTGGGAAGAAAGAATGGGCATATCTCCCTGCCTCAAATTAAGGGATCACAGATAGTCTCACACAGTCACGCTCAAAGGCCCATTTCCCAGGTGATTGTAGATTTTGTCAGGTTGACAAAACCCAATACAACTCCGCTCCTTATCAGCGTGACACCTGAATACACCATTTAAGCCAGTCTCCTACTCCTTATCTTCATAGGTTCCTGACCATGTCATCATTTGGAATGCTTGCAGTCCAACTTTAAAGTCCCTGTAGTCTGTAACAGTGAGCTCATGTAAAATAAAAAACAAGTTATTTATATCTAACATGTCAGAGCACAGAGTAAGATTCCTATTCCAAAGTGGAAGGACAGGGCACATCAAGAAACAGTCACACCAACGCACACCCACAGCCCAGCAGGGCAAACAGCCAGTCTTGCAGCCATATCTGGCATTGGGGGCTCATAGTGTGTTCAGCTGGGCTCCGGAAGGCTTGTCCCCCCCCCCCCCCCCATTCTCGGGTCCACACTGCAGCCTGGTCTTGACATCTTCATATGTAGCTTGCTCACTATACAGCCTCACTGCACACAGCCTCCGGAAACCTATTGTAACTCCTGCATTCTGCATGTTCTGCTGGCTCAAGATGTATCTGGACTTCACTGGACCTCAGCAGCTAAGTGCAGAAAATGTCTTCCTAGCTGGTTTGCAGCAGAGCATCCCAGAGACTGCAGCTCTTTCTTTCTTTCTTTTCTTTCTTTCTTTCTTTCTTTCTTTCTTTCTTTCTTTCTTTCTTTCTTTCTTTCTTTCTCTCTCTCTCTCTCTCTCTCTCTCTCTCTCTCTCTCTCTCTCTCTCTCTTTCTCTCTCTCTCTTTCTTTCTTTCTTTCCTCTCTCTTTTGAGAGTTCAGAGTAGGGTGTCAGATCCCCTGGACCTAGAGTTAAGGATGGTTGTGAATTGCCATGTGAGTGCTGAGAACTGAACCTGGGTCCTCTGCAAGAGCAGCTGGGGACTTAACCACTGAGCAGTGTCTCCAGCCCCATGAATGTCTTTTGAACTGTTCACATATTCACATCCTGGAGCCTTTGACAGTGGGGTCTGTATCAAGGAACTTTTCCTGTTCTCCTGGTACAAAGTGCGAGTGTTAATATAGCTGCTCTGTGTGACCCATCCCCAGGCTGATGATCCTTCCTCATACTGTGTGTTTTTAAAATCCTAAAAGTCTCGGCTTGGATGCTATACTGTCATGAAATTTCTTCTGCTGAGAAAATTAGTCTATTGCTTTTGAACTCAGCCTCACCTAAAACTTCAGGACTCAGGCAAAGTGTAGCCAGATTTGTTGCTGTAGCACAGGTAGCCTTCAGCTCACATAAGATCTTTCTTTCTTTCTTCCTTCCTTTCTTTCTTCCTTCTTTCCTTCCTTCCTTCCTTCCTTCCTTCCTTCCTTCCTTCCTTCCTTCCTTCCTTCCTTCCTTCCTTTCTTTCTTTCTTTTTTTGTTTTTTCGAGACAGGGTTTCTCTGTGTAGTTTTGGTGCCTGTCCTGGATCTCGCTCTGTAGACCAGGCTGGCCTTGAACTCACAGAGATCCACCTGGCTCTGCCTCCTGAGTGCTGGGATTAAAGGTGTGCGCCACTGGCGCCTGGCCAAGTTCCTTATTTCTATTTGAAGCCCCCTGACTGTCTTTACTGTTGATATTTCCATCAGCATTTTGGCTCCGCTGACAGCATTCTAGGGCTTCTCTTGCCTACAGCCCCAAACTTCCAAATCCCTCCCACAAACCAGTTCCCAAGGCCATCATAGCTACATTATGACAGCAACGGCCCTCCTCTTCTGTCCCGGTTTTCTGAACCCCTTGCATGGCTGTCACTAGACAATGAGAGCTTGTGGTGGCAACTTCTTGCACTGCTGCAGATAAGAAATGGGGAGGAGCATGCTGGACTGGAGACAGAACCTTTGGGAAGTGGGGTCTGGCTGGTAGAAGTGTAGCAGTAAGGATGGGCCTACCGATCTACTTCCGTCAGCCAGACCCCACTTCCTAAAGGTCCCACAAGCTGGGGACTGAATGCATAAGGGACATTTCAGATTCAAACAATAGTGCTCTCCTTCATGGAGTGCTGTGGCTCTCTGCAGGGCCTCATGTCCTGTCCCCTGCCCCTTTGTCCTACTTTGCTGGCCCCGTTCTATCCCATGTCTCTCTGTACCCATGCTTACTAAATGATGACCGTCAGAGAAGGTCTGTGCTTGTCCTCAGTCCTGTGCCCCTTACTTCTGATCCTTACTTCTTTGTGACTTTTCATGAGCTCTGCCAACTTCCACCAACCCCAGTGTCCATGAGAGTCTTGCATATTTCTTGCTAGATTGTCTCGGGCCTTACAGTCCCTGCCATTGTGTGCTGGGTCTTCTCTCTGTTTCTGATGGGTTTCAGTGTTGACTCTGTGTTCAGCAGCCTTGCTGGATTTCAGCACCGCCTTGTGTCTAGTCCCTTCTATGGTTTATGAGTCAGGACAAATCATCTCTCCCCTATTACCTCCCTGCTTTGTATGTTTGTGCAGAATGAGCCCACCCCTCTACACATGGAAGTGGATTTTGTGGTACCTTCTTCTGTGGCCTGGAAACATGGCTGTCGATGCCAGCACTGTGCCTTGGCCTCTGTCAGGGGTGATGTTTGAAGCCTGTAACAGTGTGTGGAGTCTGTCAGTGTGGCGGTCTTGGCAGGGATATGTCTGGGCTGAGAAGAGACAGGCCACAGCCGAGGAGCCTTCTGGGAACTAGCTGCCCATCATCCCTCCCTTTTCCCTGTAGAGTGTAGAAATGGCAGCCGAGAGCCAAGTGATGCCAACTTTGCTGCTTTTTTTTTTTTGGCCACTTTGTTGGGATGTAATTCTTGTGCCATATAGCTTACGTTTCAAGGACACCTCAAAGATGTGCTTATTTCTTGGTGCCGAGGATGGAACCCAGGGCCATGCACGCACTAGGCAAGCATGCTGCTACTGAGCCAGATCTTGGCTCAGGCATTATTTTCAGTGCAGCTGGCACCATGGTCCTGTCTAGAGTGTTCATTACCCCACATCTGCTAAGGCCCTCTGTGTCCTCCAGCTTCTACCAGCCACCGGTCTGCATTCTGTCCCTGTAGATCTGTCTGGCCTGCACATTCTTATAACTAAAATCAGACATAGCCTGGCCTCCTGTATCTGGCCCTTCCCTGAGTATCATGTTTTCAGGACTCATTGTGTGATGGCATGTCTGTGCTTCACTCTTGTGTGTTGCTGTGTTGTACCATCCTACGCACAGCCTATACTGGCTGTTAGAGCTACAATGGCCTCACACAGGGCATTGCCCCAAATGCTCTTAATCCTTCAGGTTCGGACCTTGGCATGTCCATGGCCACCTGGGGGGAGTTCCTGCTGTCTACCAGCTCTTCCTTGTCACCCTGACTCTGTTGAGCTGATTTCTGTGTGGCTCTTTGTCTGTAGGGGGATGATGGTAGTAGCAGTAGCTGGTAGCACACATCTTAAGGCCCCTGATCCTTAGACTCAGTATGACTACCCAGATTCCCCAGGCTTCCAGACCTTGTCTGCAAGACCCTGAGGCATCTCTGCCAGGTAGGAATGTCGGTCAGGGTTAAGAAACATTTTTTTATGTATATGATGTTTGCTTATATGCATTGATGTGCACCATGTGTGTGCCTGCTGCCCTCAGAGGCCAGAAGAAGGTGTCATATTCTCTGGAAATGGAGTTACAAAGGGTCGTGAGCCCCTATGTAGGTGCTGGAAGCCAAGCCTGGGTCCTGTGCAAGAGCAGCAGGTGCTCTTACCCTCTGAGCCACCTCTCCAGCCTCTAAGAAATATTCTTTTAAACTGGGCTTGACTTCTTTTAAGACCAGACTCCTGTACTGGAGCCATGCCTTCCTGCCTCCTGTAAGACACGGGCCTGCCTGCCTTCCTGGCGTCCTTAACGGTGGACTTTGTGTGCTGACCTCTCTTTGACACAGGCCGGCAGAGCCCAGCGACTTCCTGATGCTCTTTGAGGGCAGCACCCGTGGGAGGAGGAGGGTGGCCAGTCTTAGCAAGGCGTCCAGCGAGAAGGAAGCCTCGTGGAACGTCCTGGTAAGGGTAGTGTGTAGCAGCCATGAGTCCTGGTATTCCTGCCGGGATCACCATCTAGTTCCCTCCACATCCTTCCTGCCTCTGCAGAGAAAGGGGCAACAGCTGCAGGAGGGTGTGTTGGGCTTGTGAGCTTTGGTCTAACTGTGGTCCCTTGGGTACCGCAGCTGTGCCTCGTGGTGTCAGGGCCTGTTGTTGGTATTGGGGTATGCTCCCGGTATCCCAGGCTGAGAAGTGTCTGCACGATCCACAGGATGACCAGCCTAGGGGCTTTGCTTTGCCAGCCAGCGTCCAGAGTCCCAGCACCCTTGACTCTGCCTTGGGCCCGCGGAGGAAGGAGTGTGCCCTGGCACCCAGCTTCACTGTTAACAACAGGTATCATCCACCAGGTGCTCCTGGTCCAGGAACTCTGGGTCTTTCCTGTAGCTGCATCAAGCTACTTTGTAATGAATGGCTTTCCCCTCAGCCAAAGGAGGAGACCAGAAGATGTATCGTGCGCAGAAGGGACCTTTGACCACTGTTTAAGGGATGCAGCTGTGCTCAGGCCCAGCAGGCCTTCTGGAATGCCCCTCTCCCTTGGGGCAGCCTTTCCCTTTAGAGGCCTGAGTCACCACTTGTACTTTCTGGAAATTCCAGGTCTAGTAAGCTCCCTCAGGGCCGGCTGTACCTGACTTGGAAGGTTCATCAGATGTGGGGAGGTGGGACTGTGTCACCTTGGGGCTCCCAACCTGCCTGCCAAGGAAGGGTGAGCCTGTGTCAGAGCTCTGTTTGTCACTCTTGGGGTCATGCTCAGCAGGGACATGACAGACCAAAGCATGTCTGAGAGCAGTAGCCAAGGTGGCAGGTCCTGGTACAGTGGCCTCCCTGATAGACGGAGAAGCAAGCCACTGGAGAAAGCATACTCTAGGCCACCTCCAAAGCAAGTGTGCATCCCTTGACCTTGGGGGTCAGGGGACACTATCCACCTCCTTTGGGTACAAGAAAGGGCTTTTCTAACCCAAAAAGACTTGGCCGCTGGGGTGCGGGCCATGGGGTCCCAGGGGTGTTTGATCATTGCCACAATAAGCACTGTGAGTTTTTACAGCAGCATGTGCTACAAACAAAACCTGGCTGTGTCCTCTTTCCCTGTCTCTCTGCCAGAAGCAACAAAGGAGCCGTGGGCAACTGTGTCACTACCATGGTGCATAACCACTACGCCTCCCTGAAGAAGGTGTCACCTCCCAAGAGCTCCAACCAGACAGCCCCCTCCCTCAAGTAAGGCCTGATTGCATGGACACAGGGAGCATGTGACCTAGGGGTGGGCCCCAGGTAGGGTGTGCTGTGTTCATGTGAGGATATGAGCCCCGTGATGGGGCTCTTGACTCTTAGTGATTCCCGTCTGGGCTAAGGCAGCTCCCTAGGGGGAACAAACAGCTGACTGGGGAGACTGAGGCCTCTGCTCAGGGTGGAGCGCTGGAAGGAAGCTCCTGCCCACATACAGAACCAAAAAGGTACCACATTTTGGGTTAACTGAGCAGCAGAGAAGCCCTGTACCTTGACAGGGCGGCTTCACTTAGAGTCAGTGGTCCTCAGAATTCTTGAGTCTCTCTGGATCTGGACTCCTATTCTGAGAACCTCTTTCTGTTTGTAAATGTAAAATACATTTACCCGGGTGGCAGTCAGTGGGACTTTGGCGTACAGGTAGTTCTGGGCACCAGCAAGGTGGGGCCGAAGGGCCAGCTTCGCACCACGGCCTGTGGGTCTGCTCCAGTCTTGGAGCCTGCCCAGAGCTGGGGACAGAGCTAGGCTTCTTTTTTTCCTGTCAGCAATATCATCAAGGCTGCAGCTCGAGAGGGCGGTGAGGGCAGTGACTTTGGGAAGCCTCGGAAGAACGTCTCTGGTGGCAGTCACTCCACCCGGGGTGCCACCGGCCTGCTGAGGCGGAAGGAGGTGACTGAGGAGGAAGCTGAGAGGTGACCGCTCACAGGGAGGAGCGGGGACGAGGGACTTGGGACCTGTGACGCCAATGTTAAGAGTTTCCAGTAATAGTTGGTTTTTAGACAACATGGAAGGCCATACTTGGTGAGACTCCATGTGTCTACAGTGCAAAGACAAAATGGTTATATAGAGGGAGGGGAGCTGTGGTTGCTTGGGGCTTGGCAGGAACCAGGATACCACAGGGACTGTTTTTAGGGTGATGGGAATGTTCTAGAATTGGATTGTGCTGATGGATGCACAACCCTGTAAATTTGCTTTAAAAAGCATTGGATTGTATACCACAAATGGGAGGGTTTATAGTATGGTAATTATGCCTCGGTAAAACTGGTAATTAAAGACACATTTAGCAGAAAGAAGATAAAAGACTGAGGAGAACAAAACCACCTGCCTGTGGGGCTGTCCTCGATAGTTCCCTCTGGGGCTTCAGGGTGGGCACGTTAGAGGTTCCCTAGCTGCCATGCTGGCTCCTTGCCAGGCCCCCATAGTGGGTGAATAGCTGCATTGGAGCCTCCTAGGTGGCCTCAGGACTCCCACCCAGACCACCTACCTGGCCTGTGACTCGAGGCTGAGTATAGGGAAGGGTCCTAAGTAGGCAGTGGGAGGGAGGTGAGGCCAGGAGCCGTCCATCGGCCCTCCACAGCTCCATCTTGGTGTCCTCTGTGGATGGGCTCCTGTCGCAGGCAGCTGAAAGTACTTGGACCACTGGTACCATCCTTGGTACATGGATCTACGTAAAGCCCTTCTGGTCAGAGTTGACGGGTGGTTTTTGGTTCTGTTTTGTTTTGTTTTTATTTTTTTATTTTTGGTTTGCATCCAAGGACCAGGGAAACCAATAGCTGGCCTTTTTTTTTTTTTTTTTTTTTTTTCTTTTTCAAGACAGGGTTTCTCTGTGTAGCTTTGGAGCCTGTCCTGGAACTTGCTTTGTAGACTAGGCTGTCTTTGAACTCACAGAGATCCGCCCGCCTCTGCCTCCTGAGTGCTAGGATTAAAGGTGTGTGCCACCACCTGCCTGAGTTGACGGTTTTTGTTTAGTCGGCTTTATTGAGTTTTTGTTTGTTTCCTTACAGTGCTGGGATGGGACCCAGAGGCTTGCATATGCTCAACAGGAGCTGTGCCACTGAGCTTTATCCCCAGCCCATTGGGTTTAGTTTTAAAATGTACCCATTTGACAGATGTATATGGTGGTACATGCTTGCATCCCCAGCATTTTGGGGATAGAGGTTGGAGAATCAGGAGTTCAAGGTCATCCTCAGCTACATGGTGAATTTGAGGCCAGAGTGGAATACATGAGACTTTCAAAAACAAATCAGTGACCGGGTGTGGTGGCGCACACCTTTAGTTCCAGCTCTCAGGAGGCAGAGGGGGCGGATTTCTCTGAGTTCAAGGCCAGCCTGGGCTAGATAGAGAGACTCTATCTTAAATAATAAATGAATAAATAACACTAAAAATAATTAGACTATTTCAACTCCCCTCCATTCCCTCAGCCACGCACCCTGTGTGTCCTCTTCTGCCCTGACCTCAGCAACCACTGACCTGTTCGTGCCGTGTGCTCTGACGCTCTTGTCTCTCTGCAGCCCCAGATTCTGTGCCTAGCACAGCTCTCTGGTCCTTGCTTTTGCTCCCGAGCAGTATCCTGTTGCCTGGAAGCATCACTGTTCACTCAGTGGTCAGTTGTCATTGGCCATTTTCACTTTCTGATGATTAAACCTACTGTAGACTGACACTTGTATTCCCCTGGGTAGCTTCCCAGGAGGGTGGGTTTAGGTTTTAAAGGAATCCAGAAGGGCTAGCCTTCCACATCACAGCATGGTGGGAAGGGGCTCTGTGTAGCCACCATTGTCTCTTTCCATGTGGACACTTGACTAACAAGTTCTTGTTCCAGGGCACAGGGATTGGGGACCCCTTCTGGTCCTGAATCTGGTTCTTTGGACAGGTTTATCCACCAGGTAAACCAGGCTGCAGTCACCATCCAACGCTGGTACCGCCGCCAGGTACAGAGGCGCCGAGCAGGAGCAAGCCTGGAACACCTGCTGGCGTCTAAGCGGGAGGTCAGTGTGATTGTGTAAGCCAACCTAAGCTCACCCAAGGGCTGGGCATAGAGTCCTCAGGGGCTCACAGCGCACAGTGGAGTTGTTAAGACAAACCAAATGGAGTTCAGACCCCCCTCTGTGGGCCTTGTTTGGTTCTTTTTTTTTTTTTTTTTTTTTGGTTTTTCGAGACAGGGTTTCTCTGTGTAGCTTTGCGCCTTTCCTGGAACTCGCTTTGGAGACCAGGCTGGCCTCGAACTCACAGAGATCCGCCTGGCTCTGCCTCCCGAGTGCTGGGATTAAAGGCGTGCGCCACCACCGCCCGGCCTTGTTTGGTTCTTAAAGCTCTGTTGGGGTTGATGTGTCAGGAGACCCCCTGAGCAAGGTCCTGGCTAAGTGCTACAGAGCTGCCACCCCCTGACACACCTCGATGCATCTCAGGGTGGGGCTGGCTCTCTGTTGAGCCAAGGTGGCAGATCCAGTGTCCTGGGGATCTGATCTCTTCTCTGCTAGTGGACTCTGCAGATTCCCATGACTCTCAGGGTCCTGTGGAGACCATCCAGCTGGTTCCAGGGCTCTGTCATCGTCCAGTTCTGTAAAGTTCGTGGCTTCGGCTTCCCTGGCAGGAGCAGAGGCAACGGCTGGGTAGTGGGAACCTTCTGGACCTGCACCGGCAGGAGGAGGCAGCAAGGAAGAAGGCCCGGGAGGAGAAGGCTCGCCGGGCCAGGCAGGCAGCCATTCAGGTACCGGGAACCCAGGCAGCATCCTACAGCCCATTCTGTGTGACACCAGTGCTTGGGAGCACCAAGCCTCTGGGCAGCTGGGCTGCAGAAGGGAAAGGGGACATGGGGACATACTGCTCTAGGCAGCCGCTCAGAGATGCTCCTCTGTCAGGAATTGCAGCAGAAACGAGCCCAGAAGGCAGGTGAGGCTGAGCACAGGCCGCCTAAAGACAGACCAGAGACCAGAGCACCGGGGCAGCCTCGACCCACCCAGGAGCCACCCTCGATGCCAGGCAGTACCGCCCACCAGGCCCTCAAGGCCAACAATGCCAGTGAGTGTTTCTCAGTCCACCATGTTCTGGGAGGCCTGTGGTGGGAAGGAGCTGCAGGCTCTGCCAGGCTCAATCCTCGAGTTGTAGCCAGGCTTTGTGACTTTCACCTGCAGGATTAGGATCTCGGCCCCAGGTCATTACTCCCCACATCTGCTTCTGCCTGGGTCACTTGTGGTGCTGGACTTGAGGGTGCCCAGGCCTCGACAGATCATCCTGGCAGTGGGACCTGTACAACTGAGGCCCAGCATTATGGAGTTGTGCCTCTTCCCCCACAACTTTATATCCTGGAAGGCCAGGGGACCCTTAATGTGTCTGTGAGCTTGTACCTGGATCCTTCCTAGGGAACCTCCACGTTCAGGCCCTGGGAGGGATGACATTGTGTTCTGTTTTATAGGTGCCAGCATCTACCCCACAGGCCCTGGAGACCCCTGCCCTCCTGCCTCTGAGTCATCCCCAGAGCCCCAGCAGCCTCCAGAGGACAAGCCACAGGTCTGGACACAGTACCCTTTCACCTCTGGTTTTGGCTTTTGGGGCATGTCATTCCTGGACGGCCTAAGCTGATATTTCCCTGCCCTTTCTTCAGCCTTGGGGTCCCTTGTCGTGAAAGGATGCCAGGAGGGCTCCTGTTGTGATGTGAAACAGCAGCCTGGTGATCTCACTGGGGGGAGGTCTCACAGAACTGCTCTGGAAGTCTACCAGGAGTTCATAGTCGCCGGGGGAGGGTTACTGGGTCCGTCTCCTTGAAAGAGGAACTGGAAGTTCAAAGGGGACAGCAAGGGCTGGAGAGATGGCTCAGCTGTTAAAAGCACTGGCTGCTCTTCCTGAGGTCCTGAGTTCAATTCCCAGCAACCACATTGTGGCTCACAGCCATCTGTAATGAGACCTGGTGTTCTCTTCTGGCCTGCAGACAGAACACTGTATACAAAATAAATAAATAAATCTTAAAAAAAAAAAAAAAAGGTACAGCAAGGCCACAAGACTTCTCAGTGTGAGACTGGGCAGGGCCCTTTCTCCCCTGAGCATGGCATCTTGAGATATGTGCCAGTAGGTAGATGCACTAATCCATGGGGATGGGTAGCACTGGGTGGGCCTTGTACATGGTGGCTCTCAGTCACCACTAGCCTTGTTGATCTCCCTCCCTGCCTGACTGCTGTAGGACATCCATTCCCAGGATGTAGCCAGAGAGGACTTGGAAGTGTTGGGCACTACCAGGAGCAAGATCAGGGCCAGAGCAACCCTGGATGAGCTGCTAGACACACTGAGGTTACTGGAGGAGGAGCCTGAGCCGCTGCCCCGCCCGAAGACCTATCACAAAGACAGATATGCCTGGACCGAGGAGGTGAGCAGGCACGAGTAGGTCAGGAGGCCTTCGTGGGGTCAGGGAAGGCTGGTGCCGCCATATCCCTGTTTTAGGTGGGACCCTAACAAGGACCAGATGTGGCCTCTTGACCTCTGCTCTCCCTTCCCTTCTGGTCCTTGAGGTTGAGGCGCAGTGACCTATGAGGGTTCACACCTCTCTTGCTGCAGTACTATTCTCAAAGGTCTGAGCAGCAGGAGGCCCTTCTTCCATAGCCAGGCTTACTGACCCCGCACCTCACTGCCTGCTGTCCCTGAGGGACCCCAAGTCCTCAGGCTTCCCTAACAGCTCCCAATGCTGGACCACCTGCAGGAGGATGACATCAACTCCCTGACAGCTGACAACCTGGAGAAATTTGGGAAACTGAGTGCACCCCCAGGCCCACTTGATGATGGGACTCTGCTCTCAGAGGCCAAGCTGCAGAGCATCATGAGCTTCCTAGATGAGATGGAGAAGTCGGGACAGGACCGGCCAGCACCCCAGCGGGAGGTAGTCGGCCACCAGGCCCCTGGGTGGCTGCCAGCGGGAAGTGATCACTTGCAAGACCCTTATGCAGCAAGCAGTCCCAGTCCTGAGTTCTGAACAGAGGTGAAGGCAGACAGGACTGTCTTCTCCCACTCTGGGCTCCTGTCTAGATGGGTTGTCCTGTCTAGGTGGATGGTCCTGACATCCCTGGGCTCTGGTCTCTTTGGGCTGTCTTTCCTGAGTGAACACCAGTGACCACGATGAGTGGAGTGATGTCTTGTTTTCATGGGGGGTGGGAAGGTCAGGAGTGGATAGATCATGTCTGACGATCTGTGTTAGAGCATCAAGGCCATAGCCCTCCTTCTGCACTGAATAACGAATGCCGTCTCCATGGGTTGACTTGTCACCCACCGACCCTTGACCAGACGCCCTGTGCAGCTGTTTTTCCCTCACAGCAGGGTAGATTGGGAGCATGGAGTGACTTCCCATGGGCGTCAAGTGGGTGGTAGCTGCTGTGTGGCCTGTCTGAGGCTTGTCCTATCCTTAGAGCCTGGTGCCGGAGGCGGGCCCAAAGCCCCTGGAACTGGGGTCTGAGGGGAGTACATTCATGATGCGGCTAAAGCTGGAGGTCGAGGAAAAGAAGCAGGCCATGGTTCTACTGCAGAGAGCTCTGGTGAGTCCGTCAGAGTCCACCGTTAGCCATCACCCCAGGGCTCTAGCCGGCATGGGGACTGCCAGCATCCTACTGAAGGCCTGGGCCATTGTCATCCCCAAGGCTCTGTCTCTGTCTTCTCTCCCACATGGCCCTTGGTCTCTGGCAGGGACCCAGTGCCAGTACCTCCTGTCCATACCTCCTGCAGGCGCAACAGCGTGACCTCACCATCCGACGTGTTAAGGAGACAGAGAAGGAGCTGAACCGGCAGTTGCGGCAGCAGAAGGAGCACTATGAGGCCACCATCCAACGGCACTTGTCCTTCATTGACCAGGTGACTCAGCTCTGGGAGGCTTGTGGGGTGAGAGGAGTTGGTCTGCAGACCCAGGGTTGGCGTCGCTGTCCCTCCGTCGGAGCGCAGCGCTAACTGCAGGACCACGGTGCCCGAGGCCCCAGGGTGGTTCTCCAGCTGGCTGGCCTAGTAGAGGCGCCTTAGGTGGGCATCAGAACCTCACCCACCCCCATCGCAGCTGATTGAAGACAAGAAGATTCTGAGTGAGAAGTGCGAGGCAGTGGTGACTGAGCTGAAGCAAGGGGACCAGCGGTGTCGGGAGCGCGTGGCCCAGATGCAGGAGCAGCACGAACTGGTGAGCTCCCTGGCCAATACCAGCTTGTGAACAAGTTCCCAGGGCACATGGCATTGTGGCCCGAGGATGCAGGTCAGGATTCCCAGCACCTTTCCTTGTTCCCTTCCCTCTTCTTGAGGTTTCTGTTTGTTTAGACAGGTTTCTCTATGAACAGCCCTGGTATCGTAGAACTCACTCTGTACCCCAGGCTGGCCTTGAACTCACAGAGATCCGCCTGGCTCTGCCTCCTGAGTGCTGGGATTAAAGGCGTGCGCCATCATGCCCAGCTTTACTTTTTTCTTTTTTCTTTTGGTGTGCCTCTCCCTCTTCTTGAACTGTATATTCAAGTGTTCAACAGGGACAGGTCCTGAGGTGTGGGCTGCCACATCCCAGGTAAGCATAAACCACCCTTCTCACAGGACAGTGGCCATGGACCCACAAGTCCAAGCCTGGCCTACTCCAGGGAAGTCCCTGAGTAACTGAACCCGCTCATCTTGGCTCTACAGGCACCTCAGCTCCCACCTGATTGGCCAGCAGAAGCTGGTTAAAAGTCTGACTCAGCCGGGCGGCGGTGGTGCACGCCTTCAATCCCAGCACTCGGGAGGCAGAACCAGGTGGATCTCTGTGAGTTCGAGGCCAGCCTGGTCTACAGAGCAAGATCCAGGACAGGCTCCGGGTGGTGGTGGCGCATGCCTTTAATCCCAGCACTCAGGAGGCAGAGCCAGGTGGATCTCTGTGAGTTCGAGGCCAGCCTGGTCTCCAAAGCGAGTTCCAGGAAAGGCGCAAAGCTACACAGAGAAACCCTGTCTCGAAAAACACCCCCCCCCCCCAAAAAAAAGTCTGACTTGGCCACCTGACTGTGCTTCTCCCCAAAGCATAGAGCTGGCGTCCCTGAAGGTACCCTAGACTGGAGCCCAGACCCAAGTGAGGGTGGGCTGGCTCTGTTTAAAGAGACCCCAGCATCTATAGCCCACCACCGCCCGGCCTTGTTTTTGTTTTTTGGAGACAGGGTTTCTCTGTGTAGTTTTGGTGCCCGTTGGAGATTGCAGCTGTTAGGTGGCCCTGTCAGCCCAGGAATTCCCTCCTCCCTTGGTCCTTGGCTCCCCTGCAGAAAAGAACTTCAGTACCCAACAGAGTTGGAGTTCATTAAGACTTTTAGATCTTTTTTTTCATTTGTTTGTAGTGGTTTTTTTTTTTTTTTAGTTTTTCAAGACAGGGTCTCTCTATGTAGCTTTGCGCCTTTCCTGGAACTCAGTCGGTAGCCCAGGCTGGCCTCGAACTCACAGAGATCCACCTGGCTCTGCCTCCCGAGTGCTGGGATTAAAGGCGTGCGCCACCACCGCCCGGCCTTGTTTTTGTTTTTTGGAGACAGGGTTTCTCTGTGTAGTTTTGGTGCCCGTCCTAGATCTTGCTCTGTAGACCAGGCTGGCCTCGAACTCACAGAAATCCTCCTGGCTCTGCCTCCGAGTGCTGGGCTTAAAGGCATGTGCCACCACTGCCCGGCAAGACTTGTAGATCTTTTTTTTTTTTTTTTTTTTATGAACTAGAGAGAAACAGGCCAGTAGTCTTTTTCCAAGGAACAGTTGTGAGCTGCCCTGTGGGTGCTGGGAACTGAACCCGGGTCTACCAGAAGAGCAGCCACTGCTCCCAACTACTGAGCCATCTCTCCAGCCCGACTTGTAGATCTTAAGCGCTGAGGTTAACAGAGGTGCTCAGGAGCCCTCCAGGTGTGAGTGTGACCTGACCCTGCAGAGCCGGGCTTTCTTCACAGTGGGTGTATATAGATTCCGTAGTTACTAAGTTACACTGTTAAGAGCATGTAATGTGCAAGGCTTAGGGTTAAAGAATTTCTTTCTGTAAGTGAGGTTGTAAGGTGAATATATGAGGGCTATTGCTTAGATTTGGGGATGAGAGAATTGCTAAAACAAGGTTATAAATCACTTTTGCCTTTAGTTTCCGTACTGTCTTTAATGTTTTTGTTGGAGGAGTTCCGCCTTTTGGTATTATTGCCTCAGTTCCGGGGGTTGGCAGCATCCCTCTCGGGGGTGGAACTTCTACAAGCCAGTGGCTGTAACCACCCTACCTGATGCCTCAGGCTGGAATATGTGTAGTATTGTGGTCCCCACCCCTGGGGAGAGGAAGGAGCTCTGCAGAGTTGCAGAGGGAACAGGGGACTCAGGATGCCCCTTTCATCTCTGCATTCTGACTTCCTGTGTTCTTACTCAGGAGATTAAGAAACTCAAAGAACTCATGAGTGCCACTGAGAAAATCCGCCGCGAGAAGTGGATCAATGAGAAAACGAAAAAGATCAAGGAGATCACAGTCAGAGGTGGGGACGCCTTCCAGAGAGAGTGGTAACCTCAGTCCCATATGCGTGGCACTGAGCGTAGGTGTCCCTGGTGTGGCCCGGTGGAGGCTGCCATGGCAGGTAGATGCAAACTCCATTTCAGCTGCTGGCTCCCAGTTCACAGAAGCCTGAGGGGTCTCCCATCTCTTGGAGGCTAGTGTGAAATGTCAAGGCAGTAGGTGACTGACATTTGGTCACACTGCAGAAAACAGAACTGTAGAAAAGAAGTACCAGGGCCCCTTAAGCTGACAGAGTTGGTTTGTGAAGGAACTGTGGACCCTTAGGTGGTTTTAGGGAACACTTTAGGGAGCACTCTCAACCTGGCCTTCCCACAGGTCCTCTTCCTCCAGGATCCTGAGCACTGTGTGATTGGGAGACACACCGAGGGCCTGGGTAGCCACTGTGGTCTGATGGTGTCTCCAGGACAGCCTGGAGCTAGGTCTCTGGGGTGCAGTCCCTGCCTCTTCTCTCTCTTCAGTAGATCAGGCTTGCTGTGCTTTGGGGCAGTGGCTGGGTGGGAGGGTCTTGCAGCCTTATCGCTGGTGCAACCCCCGTCCCCACAGGTCTGGAGCCCGAGATCCAGAAACTCATTGCCAAGCACAAGCAAGAAGTGAGGAGGCTCAGAGGCCTGCACGAGGCTGAGCTGCAGCAGCGTGATGAGCAGGCCGCACAGCGCCACCTGCGCCAGGCAGAAGAGCTGCGGGAACACCTTGAGCGGGAGAAGGAGGCGCTGGGCAAGCAGGAGCGCGAGCGTGCCCAGCAGCGGTAGGAGGGCACTGGCGGCTGTGGTCTTAGAGCGGCCACAGGTTTCCCCTGGAACAGTCGCAGTCTGTGTGGGACTTGTGCAGTCCACCTCCTGGGCCAGTGCTGAGATTCTGTTGTGGGTTCACATGAGATTGCTGTTACAGTACTCAGATGTCGGGACTTGCTAAGCTGAGCCCAAAGTGATGTGTAGGCCGCTCTGCTGCAGAGGCCAGCCTCATTCATTCCCTCAGCCCTCGGCCGATGTCAGAGCCTGGGAGTTGGTGGTCAGGGGACATGAGACTGCCTAGGCACCAGTGGCCACCAGTGTACAGCCCCCTCCTTCACGGCCAGGGCCTTCGGGCTGGCTCCTCTCACATGACCCACTGACCCTGTCAGGAGGGACAAGAATACCAGCCATGGCAGGAGCTTGCTCAGGTCAAAGAACCAGGTGCCTGGTTCTCACCTGAGAGTGGAGCTGGGCAGAGAGAGGCCAGTGTGAGGACACAGTGAGCCACAGACTCAGCTGGGCTGAGGCCATTTCACAGCTTTGTCTGGGCCTGCAGCTGAAGGAGGCTGTGACCCTCCAACAACAGAGTGACCCTGAGAGCTGACGTGGCCAGCAGAGTTTCCGTAGTGTAAGCGTCCCCACTGTCCTGCAGGTTTGAGCAGCACCTGGAGCAGGAACATCGGGCGCTGGAGCAGCAACGGCGGCGACTCTACAATGAGGTGGCTGAAGAGAAGGAGCGGCTGGGCCAGCAGGCAGCCAGGTGCCGCTGGGGCCGCTCTCCTCCCCGTGACCCCCGGGGGCCGCTCTCCTCCTCCCCGTGACCCCCGGGGGCCGCTTCTCTCCTCCCCGTGACCCCCGGGGGCCGCTCTCCTCCTCCCCGTGACCCCCGGGGGCCGCTCTCTCCCCGTGACCCCTGGGGGCCGCTTCTCTCCTCCCTGTGACTCCCGGGGGCCGCTTCTCTCCTCCCCGTGACCCCCGGGGGTCACTCTCCTCCTCCCTGTGACCCCCGGGGGCCGCTTCTCTCCTCCCTGTGACTCCCGGGGGCCGCTTCTCTCCTCCCCGTGACCCCCGGGGGTCACTCTCCTCCTCCCCGTGACCCCCGGGGGCCGCTTCTCTCCTCCCCGTGACCCCTGGGGGCCGCTTCTCTCCTCCCCGTGACTCCCGGGGGCCGCTTCTCTCCTCCCCGTGACCCCCGGGGGCCGCTCTCCTCCTCCCCGTGACCCCTGGCCTGCCCAGCTGCTCTCTCACTGACCTCTTGTTCCCTGACTCTTGCTGGCCTGCAGGCAGCGGGCAGAGCTGGAGGAGCTGAGGCAGCAGCTGGAGGAGAGCAGTACAGCCCTGACTCGAACCCTGAGAGCCGAGTTTGAGAGAAGCCGGGAGGAGCAAGAGCAGAGGCACCAGGTTGGCGTGCCATCCCTCTCGGAATGCGCGGAGGGGGGGTCTCTGATGCCTGACCCCTCAACAGGGTGGGCAGGGCCTTGGAGTGGCCCTCAGGCTGCTCACAGCCTGTCCCCTCCAGATGGAGCTGAAAGCCCTGAAGGAGCAGCTGGAAGCTGAGAGGCAGGCATGGGTGGCCAGCTGTGCCAAGAAGGAGGTAGGAGCGGCCAGGTGGGCTGCTGAGGGCCCTCGGGATGCTGGCTTCCGGGTGTCACTCCAGCTGCCTGGGGGCGTGGTGGTCCTTCCTAGCTGTGCCGTGCTACTCTGTCTGCGTGTGGATCCGGGAAGGTTAGAGTCAGAACAGGAGGAAACGGGGCTGGGCAGATCCTGGAGATCTGAGAGGATTTGTCCCTCCTCTCCAGGAGTCACCCTGCCTGTGCCCTTCAGAGTCGGCTGATACCCAGATCCTGAGCCCCTTGGCCACAGGGCAGATTCGCTCTTGTGGCTTGGCCTGTCTAGCAGACAGGAACAGTTGACTGTCTTCAGCTCTGGTTCTCTAGGAGAGAGGAACAGCCTGTTACAGTGATGACCTCCTTATCCAAGGAGCCATACTACCCAGGGCCCATCTCGTCTCTCTGTGCTCACAGGACGTCCTGAGAACACGACACTGTCCTCTGGGGGTCTGGGCAGCCCTTCAGCCCTGACCTATGCATCTCCCTGTGGCTCAAAGCACGGAACATTCCCCAGAGCCTGTGAGGATAGTCCTGCCTCTGTCTTGGTGGCAGATTCTGAGACTGCTATGTGTCCTTCAGGAAGCATGGATGCTGACCAGGGAACGTGAGCTGAAGGAGGAGATCCGAAAAGGCCGAGACCAGGAGATTGAGTTGGTCATCCACCGGCTGGAGGCTGATATGACACTGGCCAAGGAGGAGAGCGAGAGGGCCGCCGAGAGCCGGTGAGCTGCCCCCTGCCTTTAGTTCCGCAGATGGGGAAGGCCCAGAGCAGAGGGGGTGGGCTGTCTTCATACCGCCCCCTGCCTCTGCCTGCCAGCGTGAAGCGTGTGCGGGACAAGTATGAAACGGAGCTCTTGGAGCTGGAGCAGTCGGAGCGGAAGCTGCAGGAGCGGTGCACAGAGCTGAAAGGGCGCCTCGGCGAGGCCGAAGGGGAGAAGGAGCGCCTGCAGTCCCTAGTCCGGCAGAAGGAGAAGGAACTGGAAGACGTGCGTGCGGTGAGTAGCCCCAGGCCCTTTCTCCACCGGAGCCCTCCATCCTGTCAGCCTGCTCACAGCCTCATCTGCTGCCCAGGTGAACACACAGATGTGCAGCGAGCGGGCCAGCCTGGCCCAGGTGGTCCGACAGGAGTTTGCAGACCAGCTGGCAGCCTCCCAGGAGGAGAGCCAGAGGGTGAAAGCAGAGCTTGCTGAGCTGCGGGCCCGCCAGCAGATGGAGCTAGATGAGGTGCATCGGAGGTGGGTGGTCCGGACTTCAGGTGGGGCACAGGGAGCAGTGGTGTGTCTTCCTTTCTCCTCCACATATGCAGACATAGCCCAGGAGCAGGAGCTCGCATGGCTTCCAGCTCTGTGTTCAGGAAGACTGGGCATCTTCCCTCTGGGTGTCACTTAGTTCTGGAGCATCAGGGCTGGCAAGGACCCACCTGTGCTTCTCCAAGAGGGTGAGCTAGGATTCTGGCTGGGTCAGCTGTTGCTCAACAGAGGGCCAGCTGCAGGGAGGGTGACAGTGAGCACCCAGAATCTTAGCACTTCCTGAGGCTGAGGCTGCCCGCCTGTGTGGCTAACAGACAATAAGACAAAGTCATGAGGTGACTGCTCACCTGTCTTGGTCTGCACAGCACCATGCCCAACCCCCTTCCTTCCAAGAACCACTTTAGCATCTGGTTCTCATGGAGACGGTGGCCCAGGTCAGCAGGGCTGAGACCCTTTGGGCTGACCTGGGACTCAAGTTGGGGGCTGCACAGACGTCCACTGCACATCACTGCAGGGTGAAGACCGCTCTAGCAAAGAAGGGGGAGGTCGTGAGCAGTCTCCGGAAGCAGCATGAGGTGGGTCTCTCTGGGTCTGTGGTGGCCTGCCTGGGGTCGGGGCATCCAGGGCCTGACTGAAATGTGTTGCAGGCTGCTGTGAAGCGGGCGGACCACCTAGAGGAGCTGCTGGAGCAACACAGACGGCCATCTTTGAATGCTAAATGACATCACTCTTGGGATGAAAAACCAAGACTGAGGCAGATGCTCAGCCCTGCAGCTGGTGTCCACGTTACGTCCCAAGACACAGGACTAAGGGTAGTCCAGCAGCTGGTGTGAGAGGCACCCTCTCATGGAACTCCAGTGCTCAGGACATTACTGTCAGCTTGCCTGCAGCTGTTTTATAGTAAAGCACGTTAGTTTTTTTGTTATTTAGTGTTTCATGTCATTGGCTCGTCTTTCTCTACTGTGTTGGGTTTGGGGAGCAGGGAGCTGGAGACCACAGAGAGCCCCATTTCATGGCTGTAGGACTAGCTCCGACCCTTGCCTCGCCCTCTTCCCACCTGTCCAAGCTGACAGGGAAGTGGAGTGGCCTGCAGCCAGATCCTCTGCTCTCAGCTCCAGTCTCCAGCAGGCAGTGGCCATTTGTTCCCACCTCGGCCTCTCCAGAGGAAGCAGACTCACCTCCTGGAAGGAACTATGTCTCTAGCCCAGTCCAGAAACCTCAGCTTCTTCTTTTTAAATATGTATTTATTCATTTAAAAAGTTTACATGTGTGTGTGATTTGCCTCCATGTATGTCTGTGTACTACCTGTGTGCCTGATACCCGCAGAGGCCAGAAGAAAGCATAGGATCCCCTTGAACTGGAGTTACAGACAGTTTTGAACCACCACGAGGGTGTGAGACTTGAACCCAAGAACCTCTCAGTACCCTTTGCCTTGCTTGGTGGGCTGTTGATACTTCCCAGCCTAGGTGGCCTCACTGCAAGGTGGGAGGTGAAGGCTGTAGCCCATACATGGGAAGCAGCATCTTGGAGCAGGCCTCACTGAACCAACATCTTCCCAGACAGGCCATGGCCCTGAGCCAGTGCCCTGGAAGACCCTGTGGGGTGTAGCTGGCTACCAGTCTACCCTGCTGCTTCCTAGAAGCTGCTGCCTATAAGGGCCTGACTAGTCCATGGCTCCTCTGCAAAGTGCCACCTGATGACCGAGTCCCCAGCCTGCTCTGTGCCTGGGTACCTCAGAGAAGGCTGGTTACAAGATTGCATATGGTGTGGTATCATTCCCCCATTTCCTATTAGCTCAGTATGTAGGCTCTTGGACCCTCAGCTTATTGTTCAGCGGTTCAGACCAGAAGGGAGGGCCTAGGACCAGAGGTGGGACTGTACTCACAACCTGAAGGCAGATGTGAATTCAGGGCACAGGTAGTGCTCGAGGGTCTGGGCACAAGAGGAGGCTGACGTCAGCCGCAGGGTTGGCGTCAGAGGCTGCAACTGGATTTTGACTTGAGTGTGGTTCTGTTTGGGTTGGCAAGATGGCTTAACAGGTAATGCTTGTCACATGAGCCTATCAACCTGAGTTCAGTCCCCAGAACCCACGTGTCTTAGTTGGAGTGACTGTTGCTGCGATGAAACACCATGACCAAAAACAATGTGGGTCGGACAGGAACTCAAACAGGGCAGGAACCTGGAGGCTGGAACTGAAGCAGGTGCCATGGAGGGGTGCTACTTACTGGCTTGCTCAGCCTGCTTTCTTATAGAACCCAGGACCAGCAGCCCAGGGATGGCATCACCTACCATGGGCTGGATCCTCCCCCACCAATCACTAATTAAGAACATGCCCTCCAGGCTTGCCTGCAGCAGGATCTTATGGAGGCATTGTCTCAGTTGAGGCTCCCTCCTCTCCAATGACTCTAGCTTGTGTCAAGTTGACGTAAACTAGCCACACACTATGTAAAGGTGGACAACTCCACAAAGTTGTCCTCTGACCTCCACATGTACACTGCTGCACACACACACACACACACACACACACACACACACACACACACACAGTATACGCATACATACAGTAGTTTTTTGTTGGAAGACATTTCGGGGAGGGCGTTAAACAACAGCTGTGAGCCAGGCATGGTTGGTGCTTGTAATTAGTGTTCAGAATGTGGGGACTGGGGACACCCTGAGCAAGTTAACTAGCTAGACTAGCTATATTGAAGAGCTCTGGTTTCTGTTGAGAAAACCTGCATCCAAGAATAGTGTGGGAGTGATCAGGGAGGACCCCCATCAGCATCGTGCCTCCACGTCCATGCTTATATGTGCAACCACACCTCCACACACATGTACACACGTGTGAACACATGTACAAGTATTCCTACCACACACACAGATATACACAAAAGGAAAAAAAGGAACGTGCTGCAGTTTTGGTATATATTTGGTTATACCCCATATCCACAAGGTCCGGTTAACTCACTACATTGAGTCACTTGCAGCCTTACTGATTTCTTTCCGCCTTGCTCTGTCAGTTCTGAGGGGAGAAGCTCACACCCCCGCCATAGTCGTCTCAGCTAACACGCTTTTGCTTTATGCAGTGTGGAGCTATGTTAGTGAGTGCACACACATTTAGAACAACTGAGTCTCTGGGCGACCGTTCATCATGGGCCAAGTCTCTGACTCCCTTGGAGCTTTCATTTAGCCATACCGGCTTTCCTTGTGTTTGCTTGGTGTCTTTGCCTTTCTACTTCCAACCTTTCTATGACCTGTAGTTAAGCATCATGCAAAAGCAGCCAGAGACAATATACAAACCCAGTTTGGCTGAAGTGATCCAGTGAGATCACCTGCCTTTGGTTCTGCTGTTGGTTTTCATCTGTCTGGGGTTTTTTGTTTGTTTTTGAGACAGATCTCTCTCACTATGTAGCTCAAGCTGTTCTGAATTTTATTTTCTTTTGAAGATTTATTCATTACCGGGTGGTGATGGTGGTGGTGGTGGAGGTGTGGTGGTGGTGGTGGTGATGGTGGTGGTGGTATGGTGGTGGTGGTGATGGTGATGGTGGTGGTGGTGGTGGTGGTGGTGGTGGTGGTGGTGGTGGTGGTGGTGATGGTGGTGGTGGTGGTGGAGGTGGAGGTGGTGGTGGTGGTGGTGATGGTGGTGGTGGAGGGGGTGGTGGTGGTGGTGGTGGTGGTGGTGGTGGTGGTGGAGGGGGTGGTGGTGGTGGTGATGGTGGAGGTGGTGGTATGGTGGTGGTGATGGTGGTGGTGGTGGTGATGGTGGTGGTGGAGGGGTGGTGGTGGTGGTGGTGGGGTGGTGCACGCCTTTCTTTAATCTTGGCACTCAATTGCCATGAACAGAGCTAATGTGCCCTTCACCCCTGCTGTTTACCCGCTGCTTCTGGACAACCAGAATGGACAGGATCTGGTCTGGGGACTATCAGCACACAGATGATGTTTCTGCCATGAGACAGAGCCCACTGAGGGGCTGAATGTGGGTGGTGGGTCAGAGGCCCAGGGACTGCATGCCAGGGGTCTTGCCAGGCCTAGGAATCTGGAAGACAAAGGACTGGCAGGAGCCAGCTACCTGGTGCTGCAGGTGTTTTGCCTGGCGGCACACGCCACATGGCTTCTTCTGAGACTGCACCTGTCAGCACCTGCCATACTACAGCCGTTATGCCAGACAGGCCCAGGGAAGACTGGAGAAGGGAACTTCCGGAGTTGAACATCAGGCTGAGGGAAGGCAGGGCCAGTGCCCCTAGCCAGACACAGGACCATCTTCAGGGTGCCCACAGAAAAGTGGAAACAGGGATGGAGAAGGACAGGTGGACACACCCACTGAAGGTTCATTGTCCCTCTCTTCCCAGCTGTGCCCCGCCCTGCTCACGTGTGCACTCCCCACATAAACGTACGGAAGGCAGCATTCATGGGACGTTGTCTTTCAGTTCTCCCGGCACATGGCATCGGCCTTCTCAGGTACCTCCTGGAAATGACCACTCAGGCGTAGGCTCACTCTGCAGCCCGTGGGGACCTTGCCAAGCAGGGCCTCCTCATGGTGCCATTACTTATTTGGGATTTTGGTTTTTGTTTGTTTGGTTGGTTGTTTGGTTGGTTTTTCAAGACAGGGTTTCTCTGTGTTGTTTTGGTACCTGTCCTGGATCTCACTTTGGAGACCAGGCTGGCCTCGAACTCACAGAGATCTGCCTGGCTCTGCCTCCTGAATGTTGAGATTAAAGGCATGTGCCACCACCACTGAGCTTATTTGGGATTTGTTCCCTTGATCAATTTGGAAAATTCTAAAGCACGAAACTTATTTGTAGGAAATACCCCAGTTTTATAAGTTCGGCCTTCTTCCTGGATGTGGTGAAAGGTGCCTCTTGTGAGGGTAACAGTTCGTGGTCGCCCTGGGAGGGAGCAGGATAAAACTTCCCCTTAACATTTCTGAGCAAATCCCCCCAGTTTCTGCAGAGACTCTCAAGGATTCACACCAGACCCATTTGAAAATGTGCTCTGTAATCAACCTCCCCTTCTCAGTAGGGAAACTGAGGCATGGAGCAGTTGAGAGCCTGAGCCTGAGTAGACTCCATGGTCAGCTGATTTTAAAAAATTATCTTTATTTCATGTGCATTGTGTTTTTGCCTGCATGTATGTCCATATGAAGGTGTTGGATCCCCTGGAACTGGAGTTACAGACAGTTGTGAGCTGCCATGTGGGTGCTGGGAATTGAACCTGGATCCTCTGAAAGAGCAGCTAGTGCTCCTAACAACTGAGCCATATCCCCAGCCCCCAACTGCCTTCATTTTAAACCTGTGGCAGCCCTAAAAGTTGAAACTGTGGCATTTACTGGACCAGGCAGGCGAGGATGGGCCACAGCTGGGTGGTGGCACCCTGGGGACTTTTGCTCGTGGCCACTTCATATGCCACCAAGTAGGTCCCTAGCAGCCCCTGATGTTTGTGCCAGAAGCTGGGCGTGAGGGCAAGATGAGCCAGATCTCGGGGCAGCCTCAGAGATTCCCCTGCTGGCTCTGCCCCAACAGACCTTCCCAGCTTACAAGGCCAACCCCCCTCTGCTCAGAACCCCTTGGACTAGAGAAAACCTGCTCCATGCAGCATCACTGAGATTCATTCTACCCTGTCTGTTAGCTGCTGTGAGACTCGAAGCAAGATGTGGGCCTGGCAGGTCTTCACTCTCAAGCTGCTTGACTCCTCCACTGTCCATCAGGGACAGACG